TGAATAAGTAAATAAAATCTTAAAAAAAAAAAAAGTTCTTATTTTATATTATGAATATTTGAAGGTCTCTATCAACTTTGTAATTTCTTATTTATTTGTTGAAGTAATAATCCTATGTATAATTCCTGTACACACACAAACACTCTACCTTTGTGAATTCTACCATCGGACTCAGCTGCTCCCTTGGGAATAACGGCTTTCACATAAATGCCACCATGTCGGACACTGGTATTCACACCTCCCTAAGTGGAAAAAGGCAAATAAAGTAACATTTTGTCATATGGAAAATTTCACACTCCATCTTTCAAATCTGAGACCTAGAAAGCAGGAAGTTCATCACCCAAAGCAGCAACACATCAGCACATGCAATTAATTCAAAACCCAAGAATATTTCTAGCCAAGTTTTCCAAATGTAAAACAGTTACTCTAGAAAAACTCTTTACTCAGAAAACAACACGCCAGACCTTGACTATATGAATCGCTCTCCCTTTCTAAGTCTACACCATGCATTATGAGCAAGCAGAAAACAAAATCCATCTATGCGAAATTAGTATGAGAACATGACTGTCAGGAAAAAACAGCATATAGAATAATTTACGTCAGATCATATTTGCTAAACTGCAACTTGCAAATCTATGAGTCAAGGAACTTTTTTTTTCATTTTAAAAGGCTTTGGTAGGTTAGTTTTGTTACACTGTAAATGAGATCTAATTGAGTAGATTCTCTATCTCTTGTGGATGCACAGCTTTTATTTCCCTTCACAAAATGAAGATAATAAAATTCTAAAGAAGTCAAGGGCAAGAGGTAAAGAGTTATAATATTTTTAAAAGTGCTTGAAAATTAGGTTTTCTTTTTGACCTCTATGTTAATAGTGCTATTTCTACCATGTTTTAAAATGACTTTTCCTAACTAACAATATCCTTCAAATGTCATAAATGATAATGTTACAATTTAGAATTAATAGAATAGAATTCTAAAGTATTTTCATCAAGTAGCCTATGCTCGTATTTTAAGACTGTAAAAGTATGTATGTTCCTTGGGAACCTCTAAGCTTAATATAGTAGTCATGTTTACAATTAAGATATATTATGGAGAGAAAGGGCATGTAAATATACATTAGAATTTATTTATGATATAGGTTAAAACACATTATTCGATGCTCACGCAGAAATGTCAAATGTATGCAAAACATACTTATTAATTTTGTATTTTTTTAGTCTTGTATTCAGATTAAGCACTATGAAATCTATGGGGTTTAAATAAGTAGCATTTGTCTAATTTCTTTTAAACCACAGGAAAAATCATTAGCACACGTTTTTTAAAAAAGTTTTAAGATGTAATTTAATTTTTAATTTGGGAAATATTTGACAGGTTTCCCTTTTGAAGCAAAATAATTAAATTAATAAATTGGCATATAATAGGCTGCTGGAAATGGAGAAGAGAAAACATTTGAAAACCTTGTCAAACAGTACCGTGACACTTATCCCCAAGCTGTTATCATTTTTAGCCAGTTCAACCTCAAAGATATCTCCAGGTTTAGGAGGTGATGAAGGAAAAGTTTTAAAATTCATTTTGTTGGATGTATTCATTGAGGAGGAAGATTCCTTAACAAAGAAGAACAAACAAAAGGATTTCTTGTTAGAGTCAAAATGAATTACTACTGGAAGATCAGTATGTGTTTTTTGGAAAAATTAAGGAAAAGCAAGATATTAAGGGATAGAGTAAATTCAAAGATCATGAGGGCTGGAAGCCATCTCAGAGATCACCTAATCCAATGCCTTTATAGTTGATGGCTGAGGAAATTGAGGTCTAGAGATTAAAGGGCTTGCTTCAGGTCAAACAGCTAGATAAGGCAGAGGGAAGCCCAGAGCCCAGTTCAAATCTGGCTTTTACATAATCCTTGTCCAATGTTTTTTATGCTCCCACATTTAGAAAGTATTTCTATTTCCTTTAAAAATCAATATATATCAAGTAGCAGCTTTCAACTGGGACCTCTAAGATGATTAGGCCTCATGTTTACTTTGCTTATATTTACAAATCCAATATAAACACAGGCACAACAGCTTAGCCCCATTTGTAAGGGCACAACCCTCTTATGAGGAATGTTGGTTCCTCGGTGAATAAATAGCTTAAGGTTCTTTTCTGAATCCACTTGTGAGTATGAGTTTACATTTATATCATTTCTAGGAAATGAGCAATTTTGTATGTTGTTGTTCTTATTATTTTCATATGTTCAGAACTTCACAAGAATTTGGGCTATCAACAGTAAAGTCAACTGCCCATTATACGAACTATTTAGGAACAACTTTTTCAGATATTAAATTCTCTTATTAATATAAACATTAAGTATGCAAGACACAACTTGTAGAAAATATCATAACCTGATTATTCATTCCTTTCTGTAATCAGGTTGCAAATTTCCAGAATGATAGCCATTTTAGAGTTAGTATTCAAAGCTGCTAATTTGTCTGAAAGTTAGCATCAAATGCAGTAGCAGTTAGTAACACAGTACATAAAGTATTCCTCCTTTCCAGAATAACATAAGCAGTTTATAGTAGATTATTCTGCTCTGTAATATATTTGCTGTTGTCTGCTTTATTAAATGAAAAGAAAAAAAACCCAGAGATTCAAATTAAACTATGCCTTTTTTGGTGTATGATGATCCTGACTGCTGGAATAAGTAGCTTCATCCATGTCTGAATCTCCACGGTCAGAGTAATCTGTTGCATCAGAAATGCCTGTTTTTTTAGTTTTGCTTCGATTACTGTCAGTAGAAGTCCTCTTCTTCTCAGTGGTCTTGGATATCACGGAAGGGGAAGGGCTGCCGTGCTGTGATTCCCGCCAGGTTCGGTCACCTACAGGGCTGGCAAAGAAACCATTGACCTGGCTCTGGGACAAGCTGGCGCTTTCAGTCCTGGAATCCTGAGAACTCAGGCTTCCTTCCCGCAGGCCCCCAGACAGCCCAAAGGAGCTCTCTGAGATGTGCCTTGCGGTACCATGTGGCCAGCAGTGATCTACGGAAGAATCTATAGCACTGTCTTGAAGGAAGGAAGGTTTCTTCATGTAGTTTTTCATGCCATTGGCAATGTGCACAGGAGTAGAAGGCCCTAGAAGTCAAAATCCATCAAGGAGAATAACAGGTTAGTGACACCCATGCTGTGCTTACATACTTGCAGAGTCTTTCGTAATGACTGTGGGAAGATTTTACACAGGTAACATATTCACAACACCTGATCCAGGGCCTGGAGCCAAAATGAGGACCCGACAAATGCGGCAGGTGCTTTCTGTTTCCTTTGCCCCCTCTTTTGGTCATTCCTGTTGCATCTTCTATAAAAATGCATACACCCCTGCCTTAACTCCCCATTTCCATTCTCCAATACCTATTTCAAATGAGTCTCCTCTGTGAAGACTTTCTTGATTCCCTCACTAGAAATAATTTGAGTCACCAAAACTCCTTGATCCTTATTTAATGGTTATTTATTTACTTATTTTATATTGTCCTTCCAGAATGCATTTTTTGGACTCCAAATAATTATGAAGGCAACTCCAAATTCCTTATAAATACAGTTCTTATCAAGAGCCATTTAAAGCTTTCCTAAGAAAGACACAAATCATAAATTTCAGTAAAAAAATTACAGATGCAAATTTATAAGAAAAAAAGTTTTATGTTAGCAAGTGAAACCAAGGAAAACTTAAAAGAGGAACGAGCAACTGGAGAGAAAATATTTGCAAAAATAACAAAAAATAATCAAAGAGTTAACATCCCTAATAAAGAGTTTCTAAAAGCTAGTAAGAAAGAGATTTAAAACTCCTGTGCAACAATTTCCAGTAGACTGGAAATTCAGAGTGAAATACAGTTAATAAATATATGAAAAGACATTCTCATGTTGCTCAGGGATGTGCAGTTTAATGTAGTTTTCTACCTCTGTGGCTGACAAAAATGAGAATGACTGATAATTTTTCACACCACTGCTGGTGTGAGGAGAACACTGTCACATCTACGTGGCTGACTACACTTTAGTAAAACTTGGGCAAATAGATAGCACTTGTAGAAAATTTAAATATGCATATGCAATCTACTTCTAGGTATCGAACCTCTAGGAATATGTACATTTTCCAATGGTATACATATAAGTGTATTTGTTGGAGCCACATTTGTAAAAGAAGTATAGCTAAACTGGATATACAATAAAAGAAAAACATTAAATTTTGATACACCCATGACATGAAATATAATGCCACATGCAAAAGGTGTATATTCATGGATGTTCAGAATATAGAGTATGCAACTTGCAAATTGGTATTTAGATTATAAAAAAATAACTGCATTTTTAGTTTAAAAAAAGTGTATGTGTTTGTGTGTGTGTGTGTGTGTGTGTGTACACATACAGGCAGTATTTTTTTTTCCAAAAATTTCTCTCTAATATACATAAAGTGACATAGACACCAAAGAGTTTCCCTAGAAAATGGGGTAAGAGGCCTTTTACTTTTTACCTCATTGATTTCTGTATAAATTAGATTTATTTTAACAAACTAGTATGTATTCTATAACTTTAAAAACATTAGTAAACATAAAGAAAAATAAAAACCTTCCTCTTCAGTGGCTGATACTTGAGAGGGATAAGCCTAACGTACCTACTGGTAATGTTCTAGGTTCTCTGAGTTTTATTTCAAGTTACATTACAGTATAGCTACACATATGGTAAGATTAATCTAGCTTTCTGAAGAAAAAGTGTCACAGAACTATACTTTAACATCATACTTTTAACTTTTATTGAGAATGAATAGTAAAAAAATAAAATAACCACATGAAATTCTGCTGAAAAGAAAAGCTTTATTGGTCCCTACACTAGGTAAAGTTTCTCTGCTAAATGCTCTCGGTACCTTGGACTTCTTAACATTTATCATAATTATAATGAAACATTTGTTTAGTTAGTTGTTCTAACTAATATTTGTCTTCCCTGACAAAGTGTAAGTCCCATGAGGGTAGAGTTTCTGTGTCCTGCACATCAAAGGCATTCAGTAAATATTTGTTGAACAAATGAATGCATTTTCTATAAAATATCTATTGAAAAGAAAATCAAGATGGGAGTCCCTTAGAGGTTTATTTAGAGGGAAAATGAGTTTCTTCTGAATTCATATGCTTCTTTTGCTAAAAAAGGGTGAATAAAATAACCCTTCTTTGGTTTTGTTTGGTTCTTGGCTGCTTGAATAGTTCTGAGTATGCTACATTTTCAAATGTAATCAGCTTCCTTTGCCTAAGATGATTGGACTACAATTAGATTATAAGGCTCTTTTTGGGCAGTGATGGTGTTTTCTATTTGCCCTGTTTGTTCAAGTAACAAGTACTGAAAATATTATTTATATATGTACATATTTTATATACACACACACATACATATTTAGTGAATAAAAGAAACCACAGTCAAAATAACTCATCTGTATACAATGTAAGAAAGTTTTCTGTCACAACATACTGTATGAAATGTTTGTTTTTTGTTTCTATTGTATCATAATTGTCTGAAATTATGCCGAAAATTCACTATCTAAACTTGTTTTTCAGGTAATATTGAACTATTCTTTTACATATTTCTCTGTATCTTTGGGATGAAGGTAACTTGCACATAATTAGCACTAGAATGTTTTTGAAAAATGCTGTTAATAATGACAGCTAAAACTCACATTTAAGTGCTTAATAGGTACCAGGCAATGTGCTAATTCTTTACATGTATTATCTCATTTAATTTTCAAAACCTGTAAGATAAGCACTTCTGTATTCACCATCTGATATATGAGTATATTGAGGCTTAGCAAGTTCAAGGGATTTCCTCAGGGTATACAGTGTTAAGCAGTGGAGACAGTATCTGACCTTAGACTTGGAGCCCTTCCCACTGCATGTGCTGTGTGTGCTTCTCTCACAAACACTGCCTCACCACCTGAGCCCCTGAACAACTCCGTGCAAGGTAGACAAGGCAGAGCCAAGATCACTGTCTCCTCCTTAATGAAAAACAACCATGGCTCAAACTCAAGTCATCTCATCTTGGTCAAGTGCCTTTTCTCCCACAACATGCTAATGGCAGGAATTATGAGACAAAATGATATGGTCTTGTTTTAAAATTTCTTATGTTTTTATCCTTTTACTTTTTACAATCTTGTTCAGGATAGGACTTCATAGATAACTATTACATAATTATATTAATTAGACCAGGGTAAAGAATTTTATTTCTGATTTGGCCTATGAAGTGATGGAATGCACCAAGTACTCAAAATTCACTTAAGTGACATCAATTTGGCACAATAAATCCATTTTTATGCATAGAGTACTAAAGATGAATGAGATAGAAAATCTTGGAAGTGATGAATGAAAAGTTACACTAATGTATATTAAACAGAGCTACATATATTACATTTTCAGAAAGGAAATAAGGAGCTTAAATCCAATCCATGATATTGAAGTTCTTGTGAGAAGTGAAACAATACACAGCTAAGAAACATCCACAACATTACCTTTGGGTATCTTCTCTTTTGGCTGAGAGATAACAAGTGTCACGTCTTCAGGTGCATTTTGCAAAATTTCAATTGCAGCATGGTGGCTGACCCCCTCGAGACTAACACTATTCACAGATATCAAACGGTCTCCTGTAAAAATAGACAATCCAGTATTTTCAAAAACAAAAAGAAATTCATACTAAGTCTTAGATATGTCACTGCCCGACATTATTTTTCATTATTTTTGTTTTGCCCGAGTTCTACTTTTGCCATCTATGCAAATTCATGCCTGTCAGTTAAGTACTTAGGAAATTATCTAGATGTAAAGTACCTGGCTTTAAGCATCCATCCAAGTCAGCTGGTCCTCCAGGGGTGATTGAACTAATAAATACACCTAGATCCAGTCTTCCCATCTTCTCCCCACCAATAATTTGAAATCCTGTGAAACAACACATTTAAGAAAGATCTTCATGACACTGTTGCTTTCAGTGATTAATGAGCAGTCTGTCCAATGCATGTAAGTGTAGAGATTCTTATATCAGATATGATAAATAGGTAACACATGTGAAATGGGACTGTTAAATTCAGTGGAAGTTTTGCTTGTAAGTATTTCATCTTTCACATTTCCTGACTGGGTGGGTGGGGTGAAGGGCCTGTGGGTGGGCAACCAGTATCTTGATCCGTAGTGGGCTGGTGCCTCAATGCCAATATTATACTATACACTTTTTCTCTTTGAATTCTTACATCCCTTTAAGAATCTCAGTGACTAGGGCGCCTGGGTGCTTCAGTCGTTAAGCATCTGCCTTTGGTTCAGGTCATGATCCCAGGGTCCTAGGATCGAGCCCCGCATCGGGCTCCCTGCTCCGCGGGAAGCCTGCTTCTCCCTCTCCCACTCCCCCTGCTTGTGTTCCCTCTCTCGCTATGTCTCTGTCAAATAAAATATTAAAAAAAAAAAAAAAGAATCTCAGTGACTTACCTAAGCCATACTTTGCATCTTTTTTCAGGTTCACCAAGGTGATCTCCCTTTCTGGTGAAGATACTATGCTCCATCTTTTGTGTAGCACATCTATTGGAAAAGTATAATGTTAAGATAAAATAAACATAACATGCTCAGGCATTAAGACTGTCTGCTTGTCCCAATTTAAATGTTAACAAAATTCATTAATAGATTACTTGGTCACTTTCAAATTCTATTTCAAATAATATTATGTCATCATCTTATACGTTGATGGTGATTTATAGTTCACAAAAGGACTGATTATCATCACATGGTTCAATATGTGATTATCATGCCACTGATATTATCATGTTAATTCCTCATAAATGATTCCCTGTGAAATAAGTATATTTCAGTTACAAATGAGTAAATAACTCTCAAGAATTTAAATGATTTGAGCAGGTTTACTCAGCTAGTACAGGCAAGACCTGAACCTTAAACTTAAGTTTTCTGACACTGTTTTTCTGTTACATCATGGCTGACTTCCTGAATTTGACAATGCTCACTATGTTAAGAATTTTCCACTCATAAGTGGTTCACATTTTTATTAGTAATGAATAAAATATTCATGGTAAGTTGTATGGTAAAGCAGCAACAAGAGGAAAATGGATTTACTTTTTTAAAATCATGTTAATAATGACTTGGCTAGCACATTTATGTTCTCAAAGCACTTTCATCTACTTCTTATTTGTGGAGCAATCTTATGAGTCAGGTAAAGAGATTTTAAATCATAGCTTTGCAGATGAGGAACAATAGTTCATGGCTTGTTCAACATTACAGCTAGTATCACTCCCAGCAAAACGCCTTTAGTCAGTACTTGATAAAGGCTAGTTAAATAAATTGAGGGACTGTTAGCATCAGAACTAGAATTTACTATTTCCACTGAGAGTTTTTTTTTTTAGCAGATTGATCATTCACAAATATCTTAAAATAAACCAATAAATATGCTACTTAAGTGTCATGTTAATAAAATTACTTCATTTACTTAGCAATCTGAGCATGTGTACGTGCACGCACACACACACACACTTTCTTTCATCTCTTCCCGTTATGGGATGAATTGTGTCACTTTACCCTCACCCTCAAATTTATATGTTGAACCCTTAACTCCCAGTCCCTCAGAACTTAACTGTATTTGGAGACAGATTAAGAAATAATGAACGTGAGTTCTTTAGGGCAAATCCTAATCCAGTAGGACTGGTGCCCTTATAAGGGGGAATTTGAATACAGACATGTGCATGCATGTGTGCACACAGAGGGAAGACTATGTGAAGACAGAGGGAGAAGACTGCCATCTACAAGCTAAGGAGAGAGGTGGCAGAAGAAATCAATGCTGCCAACATCTTGATCTCAGACTTCTACCTCCAGAACTGTGAGAAAATAAATTTGTTTAAGTCACCCAGGACCGTGGGACCTTGTTTCAGCAGCCCTAGCAAATTAACATACTTACTAATATCAATTATAATTTGATAGTTCAAACTGGTTTGTGTGTGATGTGGTAGTAGTGATGGTAGATGAATGCAACACACTTGGAAAGATAATTTTTATAAATGAAACTTTGAAATTAATCTCTGTATAATTCTTAAGCATATTGAAGCTTTTAGAAAATTACAGATTATTTGCCAACATATGACTACCCGTGGATTTAAAATTGTATGAATGTTATAAAATAAAAGTAGTAATTTTGTTACATAATATGTATTAATGCATAAATGATGCAAATGTGATACTTCATGTTATAGAAATAAATCACTTTAATATCAGAAAAAATAACAGCAATCATTTGCTCTCTGGAGTAAATTAACTTTATCCCTTAAACACTAAGCATTAATGCAAGTTGGCTAGCTCTCTGTAGCATACATGTCCCTATTTGTTTCTTTTTGACCAAAACTTATAGTTAGTTATAATCAATAAGAGTAGTAGTAATTCAGTATTTCTAATTAATTTATAAGATTCCAAAAAGAAAAAAATCACTGGACAATGGTGTGAAGAACCTTATATATTGGGTATGTATATATATGTATACACGTACATACACATACATATAAGCATAAAGTCCAAGAATTAGTTAATGCCTAGCTTAAAATTATCATCTAAGCATCCAAAATACTTTTATCCTAAAATAGACAAGTATCTCTAATTTTCAGCTAGAACCAACAAAATACAACAGGACAAACCCATAAAATAATGTGAAACAAGTAAGAGGATAAGGTTAGGTTAAGTATTAAATGTATACTTTTACCACCATTGGGAAGACAAAGTCCATTTGCTTTATGCAAAGTGTTTTCGCCCTCAATTATAAAACTGATCAGTATTCTTAATGTGCCTAAGGAGTATCTGTTAGAAGTCAAAGGTATTGATTCAAAGAATAAAAATGCCATTTTTTCCCCAATGTATGTACTAACAAGATTGGTTATTTATATTACTTATTTGGCTAATAAGTGTGTGTGTGGATATAAAAAGAAATTTCCTAGGAAAATATTATTAGAATATGTATATAAAACACACACACACATAATAAATGTGCAATATTTTAATGTATTTATGTCTAGAAGCAACAGATTCAGCTCTCTATATTCAAAGATTCTTCAGTAGGATTTGAGTAATCATTCATTTGATTACTTTTTCATCCTTCAAATGTTGACTGAACAACTTTCCTGTCAAAGTCCCTCACTAGGCAATTTGGGAAAATAAAATGAGGTAATATATATGAAAGCTGGTGCACAGTAAATGTGAGCTGAGTCAATCAGGCTACAAGAGCAAAGACCTAGCCTGACTAATAGAAATGTTAACACAGTCAATGAAATAGCTGCATTATGAAGGCATGAGTCAGGCCTATAAGAGGAGAGGCTTCTTCCTGCCAGAAATAAAGACTTCAAGGAAATGGGGTAGGATTTTAATAAGTGGATTATGGAGATGGTTATACAGCAATATATGGCATTAGCAAAAGTTGAGATGGAAAGAAGGCAGAGAGGGTCCTGGAGAAATGTTACAGATCAGTTTGGCTATAGTACAAGACTTGAGCAGGGCAGAGATAAATATTCTTTTGGAAGGGAAGTTTTGAACCCACTCTTTTTAACAGGGATGTCCTCCACCGCACCCCCACTGATATGCAGTGAAGTTACTAATGTGAGCACAGAAAGAAGGCAGGATGGCACGCAGCTATATGTTACTCCACAGTACTGTGCACATGCCCAGTTTTTTTTTCTTTTTTTAAAGATTTTATTTATTTATTTGAGAGAGAGAGAACGAGATATAGAGAGAGCACATGAGAAGGGGGAGGGTCAGAGGGAGAAGCAGACTCCCTGCTGAGCAGGGAGCCCGATGCGGGACTCGATCCCGGGACTCCAGGATCATGACCAGAGCTGAAGTCAGGTGCTTAACCAACTGAGCCACCCAGGTGCCCTCCAGTTTCTATTTGTATTCTATATGTATTCTATTCATGTAGATGTTCACAATACTTTCCCTTTGGGTAAAAAAAAAAAAAAAATGACAGAGAAGGAAGTATCTGAGGTAAATAGTACAGGACAACTCAAGTAAACTGAAAGATATGAATAGAATTTATGAATCTCAAAGGAAGGCAGCCAGATATTTCAAGAACCAAGAGATTTCTGAGGTATTTGTATGATTATATAAAAACAAACTTTAATATTGAAGGAGTACAAATTTTTAAATCCTAAAAGGATTTTCTTTTCCCATCAGTATACTCCAGGAACACAGCAAATTCTATGAATATTTTAAAGTGAAAAAGAGCTTCAACTTGAAATTTCCACTTCTTTAAGTAACACATGCTGGTGTCATTCCCAATAATGTTTACCTGGGAAATATCTTTAGAATAATTGTTAAATGTAAAATTTAGAAAATAAAATTGTATACCCTCTGTGTATTAGACACATTTGTTTCTGTGTTGCCTTTTTCATCTCTCTTAACGTTCATGTGGACATATATAATCCCTGACTAAAGTAACTGTACATACTAATGATAGATAAATCTACAATTAAACTAAATTTCCTAATAAGAACATATTTCTGATAAGGCCAAAGTCTGTAATCAATCCGAGTATGAGTCAACAATTTTTTTGGCAAGAAAAACTGATTCTGTTGGTTATAGATATAGATCCTTTTCAAGTATCAGGAAGCTCCATGCCACCCAATCTACGAGGAAATGGACTGTAGGTGGAGGAGACTCTAGATAAATCCATCAGTCACTCTACGGAAAAAGACCCATTTCAAATCTTGGAGATGATGGGTCAGCAGCACCATACTGATATAAAAACAAAGATAGGTATTTTTCATTATTATACTACCTAAATATACTAACTGCTCCAATGGTAGGGTTGGGGGATAATAATGGAAACTTTGGTGTTTTATTTCCGTGCCAGCACTAATTAGCTGAATAAATTGGGGCCACATAACATCTCTGGGACTTACTGAACTCACCCATAGAACGTAAAGGCTAGTTTGAATATACTTTAAAGTTCCTTTCAGTCTCAATTTAGTTGACTCTATTTTTTGCTTCTGGTTAGTTCCTGTATCTGTTGAATCCTTTTGTGAGCACTTCGGACTTCAATTTTTATTATAATTTTTAATTTTATATGTATTCTAATTAAGACTTACATGGAAAAATCTAGCATTAACATTACATTTGTCCTTGACATTTGACTAAGCAAAGTGCTTTAAAATCTCTTTACGTAACATTTTGTTACTTGGAATTGAGATTGTTCACAAGGACAATAATCAGTCTTTTTTTTTTTTTAAAGATTTTATTTATTTGTCAGAGAGAGAGGGAGGGAGAGTACAAGCAGGGGGAGTGGCAGGCAGAGGGAGAAGGGACTCAATCCCAGGACCCTGAGATCATGACCTGAGCCTAAGGCAGACGCTTAACCATCTGAGCCACCCAGGCGCCCCAATAATCAGTCTTAATTTTGGGGAAAAAAGCTTATTTCAGTGTCTGTACCAGGTTCCTCTGCCCTTGAATAACCTACTTTACATGAGTTTTTTGCATCTCGTTTTTTTTTTTTTTTTAGAATGACCACAGGACCCCATTATACACTTTTCCAAAAAGACAGATGGCCAACACACAGGAAAAGATAACTGATCAACATCACTAATTTTCAGAGAAATGTAGACCTGAAAAATAGAAAAAAATTTTTTTTGAAGATTAGAATACACTGAATATCTTTGCATACAAATATAAGGAGAGACCTTCCTTACGGGCTGAAAGTCCAATGCATGAAATATTCTAATCCGCAAAATGATTTAGGGATTCATAAAGTAAGTGTATGCACTTACTAAAGAACAGTGCATCTCATTTTTAAGAGTCCAGTGTTTGACCCCATTTTTGTGGTTTGGATAGGAAGGAAGGTGACAAATTTAGCTAAAAGTTACTTTTCAATTATATAATAATCCTGATTTATAGTAAAATAAGAAACACTGAAAACCAATTTTACATAATTGTTGCATCAGTTCTACATTTTCTTTATTTTGGTTTTTACTCTCTTGGGAAGAAATACTCTAAGAAGTGTGTGACTTTTTTTTTAAAGATTAAGGAACATTTTTTTTTTGAAATCACAATCAGAGGTTTGTAAACCTTCCCATATCTCTGTTTTATTAGAAGATTCATGCCTTTTTTTCTTTTATCTTCTTTGTCAAGTTTCACATTCCTTAAGGGTCTCTGAAAGTCACAAAAGGTTAAGATTGAATTCTACTTGTTGGTTCTTGTATTAAATGATGAATAATTCAGTATTAACTGATGGTAAGTTCTAATTGTCTTCTCATAATCCTGACCAGCAAGGAAGAACACTAAAATTAGAATAAGAAGTCCTATATTTGATTCACAGACAAGTAATTTATTATTTTTATTTTTTATTTTTTTAAAGATTTATTTATTTGACAGAGAGAGACACAGAGAGAGGGGGAACACAAGCAGGGGGAGTGGGAGAGGGAGAAGCAGGCTTCCCGCGGAGCAGAGAGCCCGACGCGGGGCTCGATCCCAGGACCCTGGGATCATGACCTGAGCCGAAGGCAGACGCTTAACCGACTGAGCCACCCAGGCGCCCCATGGACAAGTAATTTAATTTTTGGATGCTCAGTTACCTTCTTTGGAAAAATGTGTTTTCCATGTTCTATTGTGTGAATCTTAGACTTGATTCTCAACAGAGCACTAAATCAGGACTACGTGGGCAGATTCCAAGATAATTTCGAAGAAAACAAACTTGTCTGCAAGCCAACTGGGGTACATCTCCACAGGCAGGTGAGTTGGTCACCTTCCTCAGCAGGGGGCACTAACCTCCAAAGATGAGGTTTCTGAAGGGTTAAACAGAGCAACTACCCTGCACATGTTGCTCATTTGGTGTCCACTGTAAATTCATACTCTTTTCCATCAGAACCTAGGTTTAAACACACTTCAGGTTTTCATCTTTTAATAGATTATTATCCAGCTTCTTTCAAAAGTTTAGCTTGGAGAAACAATACCTACAAATGATTAGGCATTATTATGCTAGCACACAGTCTAAAGAGTAGATTAGAATACAGGCTCTGGAAACAGAGATCATGTGTTCAAATCATGGCTCCAGCACTTGCCAGTTCCATGACCTTCTGCACAACTCAACCTCTCTATGCTTTGGTTTCTCATTTGTGAAAAGGAAATAAAATTAGCACCTGCCTCATAGGATTGTTGTGGGAATTAAATGAGGGGTTAAACATAAAGTGCTTAGAACAGTGCCTGGCACATGTAAGCACTCAATAACCATTAGTCAAAATTTTTACCATTATGGACTTGTTAAAATTGAGCTATTTTAGGCACAGAGGTATTCTAAATTCAGTCCATGCAAGACATTTGGTCATCATAAAGCTATATATCATGGTCTTAGTAACTTTTTTTTTTTAAGATTTTATTTATTTGACACAGAGAGAGAGAGAGAGAGCACAACTAGGCAGAGCGGCAGGCAGAAGGAGAGGGAGAAGCAGGCTCCCTGCTGAGCAGGGAGCCCGATGCGGGGCTTGATCCCAGGACCCTGGGATCATGACCTGAGCTGAAGGCAGACGCTTAACTGACTGAGCCACCCAGCTGCCCTGGTCTTAGTAACTTAAGCCCAAATTTAAGCTCACTGATTTATTCTTCAATTGTATGCCCTCAGATTTTTTGAGGATACATTAAAAAAAATTGGATAAAAAAATCCTTCATTTGCTAAGTATTTAAGATATTTTGTATATTTTTACTTTTTGACTCAATTTTACTTCCAAGAAAAATTTTCCTCTCTTGAAGAATTGCTGTGGGTATTTCTATTAGAAAATTAAAGTTATACAAAATAGCACTTGGTGTCTGACAGTTTTAACCTACAAAAACTGCAGTTTCATAGGGTTCAACCCACTCTCATACCTTCATTTTTGCCTTAGCTCTCAGGAAATTAGAACTAAACTTAAGGGTAAGGCTGAAACATTTTTGGAGGAAAGCTGTATATACACACTATTAATATGTTCTTTCTACCCATGAATGTTGTTAGAAAGATCAGATAAGATAATGTAGATGAGAGTATTTTATAATCTAAACGAAAAAATTTGAATCTACCGACTCAAGTCACTACACAAAATTTCTTCCTACACTTTTGTTACTTCTTAGACTCCTTTTAAACTGTAAACACTTAAAGTCTTCAATTCTTTTTTTTAAATTATTTTATTTATTTGAGAGAGAGAGACAGCACATGAGCAGGGCGAGGGGCAGAAGGAGAGGGAGAAGCAGACTCTCTGCTGAGTGGGGAGCCCCATGTAGGGCTCCATCCCAGGACCCTGGGATCATGACTTGAGCCAAAGGCAGATGCTTAACTGATTGAGCCATGCAAGCACCCCCAAATTCTTTTTTAAAAAAAGATTTGAGAGAGAGAGCACCCATGCGTGAGTGGGGGAAGGAGCAAAGGTAGAGGGCGAGAATCTCAAGAAGACTCCCCGCTGAGCATGGAGCCCCATGTGGGCTTGATCCTATGAAACCAAGAGTTGGATGCTCAACCGACTGAGCTGAAACCAAGAGTTGGATGCTCAACCGACTGAGCCATCCAGGCACCCCTTCAAATTCTTTCCATAATATTTAGGATAAGACTCGGAGCTAGTCCCTATTTAGTTCTCGAGCATCACTCTGGCCCCAAGTCTCCATATTGAGACCCTTGTAGTTCCCTGAATCTGTTACCCTCTCACTTGTATCCCTGCCTGATCACACTATGACCTTGGTCTGGAATGCATATCCACAACATTCTGTCTGAATTTCGTCCTTTTATCTCAAGATCCAGCTCAAGCATCCTCAGTTAAAATAACTGCCTAAGTTAAGACTCTTTAATCAAGATTATCTTACACCTGAACTATCTTAGCTTTCCAGGTGTCCTTATTTATACTTTGTCATTTCTCTAGTTCATCATCTAGTATAAATCACAGGTCCCATCACATCACCATGGTGCTGAAAAATACAACTCTCCTTTGACTACAGTGTAAGACCTAAAATCCTTAGCATGGAATTGAAGACTCTTCAATATTATGTCCAAGACTATCTCATAAGGTACAAGAGAAAAGATATGATGGAAATGAGGGGGAAAACATTTTGTAAACCTACCATTTTCTTTTAAGGGTACTTGGGATGAAGAATTTCCAGAACTATGCAAAGTCATTCCTGTGGTATAAATTAAATTATTAGACAGTTTATAAAATGGTCAGATACTATATTAGTAATTTCTGTTAAATTCATAAAAATCAAAACATTAAGGCGGCAACATTTTTTTTTTTAATTTACACCCAGAAAAATGTCTTCCCACAATGGGCTTATTTACTATTTCTACTGTCCAAGTTAAGCATATCAGCTTGTTTTACAGAATAAATTTAAACACAAATGTATTGTTTCTGGCAATGACATTTTGATATGTCAAATATGAAATGATGAAACTGAAATGAGTTTTAAAAGCATTTGTTTAAATGTTAAAAGAAAATTTAATATTCAGTAAGAATGAATAATCTTAATCAAAAAACATATGTGGAAAATAAATTTTCTTTCATGAGTGAGTTTTATTCTATCTGTGTTTTTCAATGAAATATTTACTCTTCTACATCTGGTATGTGATGGATTTTTATGTAGACGAAAGCATTTCTAATGAAAATAGCTTAGAATCTATATGGGATCCCATTATATATGAATACTCTTTGAAAAGTATTTTCTAAAAGATTGAACTAGCGTCTTCTTAGGCTATGTTCAACACATAAGGTAGTGACCTATAGGGTGAAATCTTGCCTTTTATCTCTTGAAAGTTTTTCACCAATTCAATTTAAATTGATGCTAGTATCATCTCTGAAAGCTGTGGAAGCCTACATTAATAAAGTAATGATGCTTTCTGTAAATATCTACCAACTATAGAGTTCTCTTTTCATTTACTCCACAGATATTCAATCCAACTACAGGTAAAAAAATATTTTTTAACTTTGTGTAATTAGGATTAAACGATCGTTGGTCTAAGTGAGAGTTAACTAGTATTACGGTAAAACAGCAGCAGAAGAGGGTGTCCTTGTTTCTCTTTTGTCTCCCCAGCTGTTTCCTATTGAGTTCACACCTCTCTGCTTAAATATCTACTCTTCTGTAAGATTCCAGTGCATTTCCCTTTTAAGATGCATAAAGCAACAGGATATTGAACTATTTATCTCATAAGATAGTATGTGTTTATAAACTTCTTTACTTACATACTTAATATGCCTCAGCTAGCTGGGAGAATTGGAAAAAAAAACCTCAAATCAACTAAGAATTTCCACCTACTGACCGCAGCACATTTCATAAAAATTATCTGGTTTGAGAGATAACTGCATTCATGCTAAGCTGAAAGTACGCTAAATAAACCTTTCTTTAAAAAATACAGTATAGTGGAGCCCACTGCCACAGGCTTGTATGGAAAATCCAAAGGAAGACTGTCCAAAGCCATGGTACCAGACTGTCTGGGTTCTCTCAGTATGACTGTCACAGTTTTTAACTGTGACCAAGAGAAAGTGAAGTAACAGTCTGTGCCTTGAAGTAATCACCTGTTAAATCAGTTTTTGATTTGACTTGGTGCATTTTAAGTAGCCTAAAATTTCATATTCAAAAGCAGCTTTGGCAATTAGGACATAGAAGCAAAAATAATATATTGGTCACTAACATTATTTCGTTCATCTCACCATGAGCATGAGGTATGGGAGAAAGAAGGTAAGCTTGTTTATGCTGACCTATAACATATGCTTGACCAGGGTCTTCAAAGGATGAGGAGTCTGATTCCTGTTTCCTCCTTTCAGGACTTCTATTTAAACTTGCAACAGACTTTGAACTAAAGAGGGAAAAGGAAGGTAGGAGGGGGATGTGTCAATGTAAAAAAATATGGTGAAAATAATAAAACGTCAAAACAAAAACAAATGTATGAAATGTAGAATTTACAAATAATATGTAGTTGGGTAATTATGTTCTTACTTATTAAGTTTTGTGAATCCTGCCAAAGATTCTGTATCAGATCTTGCCATCTGGTGTAATGGTTTTCCTACCAACTCCGCAATGCTTTGTGGTGGGGATTCCATGTTAACAATGACATTTTTCCGATGAGGGTAGAGAGAGGCCTGACTGAGATCGTGGTATGATTTACTCATCCCTCTAGGCTTTTCCTCCCATGAAGCTTTGTCACTCTTCTCTTTTGCACTGTTTTGCAATGGCTGGTAAAGCGACAGCTCTGAGCAGGAGAGCCTCTTCAGAATCTCAGCTTGAACTGACAGAGGTCGAACGGCAAGTTTGTTCAGGGTGCTGCTGGCCAGACTGCCAGTGCTGATTGCTCGTCCCATATTAAATCCTCTAACGGACTCTGCTTGGAGATTCAGGCTCCTAAACGAAGCTCTCTCTACAAGGAAATAGGATGGCTTTACATGATGGAAACACCGCAGTACCTTTATGAGAAGAGTTATTTCGATAAATAAAACAGCATGCAGTTTTTAATTGTTTTGATTGCCAACGTTAAGTAGCAGCTTTCCAAGTGTGGCAAGCAAGGATCTGAAAAAGGAGTTTGGTTTTCAAACCATCTCTCCATCCTTGTAGCTTTCTCACAGCCACGGCCTGGTCAGCATCTTCTACCTCATCTAATGAGTCCTGAGCATCTAATAATGTTTGGGCTTCAAGCTTGCTGACTCTGAATTCCCAATTACGGGTCTCAGTTAAAAGTGAAAATAACGTCTGACACAGAAATTTCAATCCCAGTGGTGTCTCTGCTAAAATCCCTGCAAGCCAGGGATGGGGAGAGGGAGAGATGGAGCCTAGACAAGCTGACATGAAAAAGAAGCTATGCAGAGGAGAATTTTGCCCAGAGAAAAAGTTGAGTATTATTATATTTTTTAAAGCTCATGGTAGATTATGATGATTGTGCAACTCTGTGAATATACTAAAAACCACTGAATTGTATACTTTCAGTGGCTGAACTGTAGAGCGTGGGAATTATGTCTCAATAAAACTGTTACCAAAGAGGAGGGAAAAAAAAAAAAGCTTTTACAGAAAATTATTTCTTTTGTTATTTCATTACTATGCCAATCTCACCTTCCCACTTGGTTGACTTTTCATGATTGGACTGAGGCACAGGAGCCATGGGAGAATCAAGTATTACTTGCCTTCTTTCATTTTTTTGGTTTCTGTTAATAAACATGATCAAGGAGCTGGGGTTCTCATTATGCTTAAATTCCTTTCACTCCTAAATACACATCCAAAGTCTTTTAGAGGCTAAATTTAGAGATACTCTATGACAAGTGCTTGGCTTACTCTATTTTGTGAGAGCCAATGTCATGGCAGTATTTGAGCATTTGAGCCTATTAACAAAAGCACTGTATCACAGAATTTTAGCATCAAAATCCTTTCATGTAAGTAAAGGGCCAGGAGCACAAAATTTTAAATGATTTAGTTTATGCACTGGTAATCCACATTACAAGGCATTCCCCGTTTGATGCCTCCAATGGAAAGTATCAACCCTTTGTTGCACACTATAAGGAAATACAGCTTGACCACCATGGCTGCAAAAACTTCCTTTTAAAAAGAAAAGATCAAATGCTGCTGACTCAGATCTTTAGATTCTGCTTCATTTACTTTCTAATTCCTAGAAAGATTAATAATTAATAGTTCACCTCACGCATAAAGAGATAGAAAAACACAGGAGATTTTTAAAATGCATCAGAATGAAGTTTAAATAAACATGTTTCATTGTCAACAGGAAAATTCAATGTCCTTTCACTGAACTGGAAGTGGACACCAAATTAAAACATGAGAATAAAAATAAAATATTGGTTTAAATATTCTCAGAATGATCTTTAGCTTAAAATACAGTTTTATTAGAGCAGATAACATGATTTCCATTTTCTTTTGCTTTGAGAGCAGACTGTAATTAAAGATGCAAAACTTAGTCTTACACAGATTCAACTACCAGGATATACCTTTATACCCAACAGGTTTCTTCACCCTTAAGGAAATGTAGACCACACCTTGACAGAAAAAGGGACGGACTGTTTTGTAAACATATCCAAGATTATGCTAGTCAAATCCATTCATAGCCTAGTCCTGGGTAAGACTTAAAATGGTGCATATATTCACTGGATGGGAGCATAAACTACCAATTTATCTGATCTGTCCTTTATCCCTTTCACCTGGAAAAGACTCCAATATGGACTGCCAGGATGGGAAAGGACATTAGAATGAGCCTACATCCTAATACTAGTGTTTCAGATTTGAACTCAAAGGTTGGCTAGTTCCACACAGAATCTGCCATCCACACTACTTAACCTCTGCTTGTGCGATTGTTCAGTCCTTTGTACTGTTTGATATTTCCTTATATCATCAACTTAACTGTATGCTCTTTTGAGGAGAGCGACTTCATTGATTTCTATTATTCCACAGCACCCAGCATCATCTCTTACAAGTAGTAAGTGCTCAATAAATGATTATTAATCTTAAGTTCATTCTATGCAAATTAGTTTTTTCATCAAATCGAAATGAAAAGATCACGGTTCCAGCCTCATTTGACCTCTATGAGTTTAGGTGAGACACTATGCTCTGAACCTGTTTCCTCATCAGTAAAATTTGGTACTAAAAGGCCTCTAGGTTTCTAGCACCAACATTCTATGATGCAAAGAAGTAACATACATTTGTCAGCCCATCAACCTCCTACAGACAACACCAGTTATTTTCACTTGTCTAATACAGATAGTTAAGTAGGCAGGTAGTTACTTCTAAGCCATTTTAAGCAAAAAAATAATTCCTTTGAAGGTTTAACAAAATCTGGGAAAAGCTGTAGATAATACCATCTTGAAGGGCTTTCACATATGAGTTCAAGGATACACAGCTGTGTGTTCCTTGGTGGAAACCTGTGAGATACATAGGGTATTCCCACTCCATGGATGAGGAAAATGAGACTCCTAGAAGTCAGTTACTTTCCTATGGGGTCATTATACTACTATTAGTAGTGGTAGTAGTGGTAAGACAATATTGATGATGGTGATGATAACAATAATGAGTATTTATTCAATACTTACTCTGTGCCAGACACCTTTAAGGTGCTTACATGTATGAATTCATTTCATCTTCACAACAACCTCACAATGTAGGTATTATCATTATGATAATCATTTTACAGATGGGGAACTAAGGCAGAGTTTAAGTGCCTACCTAAGGTTTCAGAGCTTATAAGTAATAGAGCAAGGTTTGGATCCTGGCCATCTGGTTCCAGAGTTCATGTTGTTAATTAACTACTACACTATTTTGTTCTTCAGTATAAGAAATGCTGAGGATGAAAGGCTGGCTTCATAGTTTTGTCTTCTGATATTTTTCATAATAGCACATTATACTATGTCTGTAATGATGCAACCTTCAATTGTTCAATTTTGGTTTGTTATTGACTAGAGTATTAGTCCAAGTATGAATACTGATAGCTCTAATAAGTTTGATATTTCACTGCACTTTTAAAATATGTAAGAGCATACAATTTTTTAGCAGAGCAAAGTAGGTAAAGAAAAGGAATAATGAGATTACTTTACAGCAGTAGTTACCATATTTTAGCATGCATAAAAACCATTACTGAAGAAAGCCTGTTAAAATGCAGATTCCAGGGACCCAATACCCGAAGATGGTGATTCACCAAGTTTCAGGTAGGTTTCTGGAATCTTCATTTTTAATAAGCATACACCCCTACCGTCTTGACTCTGAAAGGCTGAGAAACATCTATTCATAGGCTGCCATCACCCAAGTCTGATCCTACGGGGAATACATTTTTTTGTAATATTTCAGGATGTGAGAAAGTTTGGATACAGAATTCACAGGATTCTGCTACACAAGGTCATCAGTGCTATTCCATTAAGTTGAAAAATCTAATTCTTCTGAGTATTTCACAGAAGTCTATAAGAATTTACTATGCAGAACCAGATTTTGTATAACTTTAATCTCTTCATGTGGTCTTGCAGAGTCAGTTTTAAATATTTCAGTTCTGATGAAGATATATTTTTTCAGAGCTGAATTAGTTTCTTCTGCTCGTTCCTTTTCAAAAGGAACTAAAATCACTCTTCTGACCATTTATACTGGGTATGGGGGTTACTGATCTCAGTCGCTGAAGAGGGACACACTCCAGTAAAACTAACAGGTGGGAAATCTGCCACCCCCAAACTGTTATACTATGTAACACATCACTGGGTGCATACGCCCCTTGCCCCCTGCCTTGTTTCTTTTTTTTACCCTCACCTGGAAACCCCTCCCATTTATCTTCAACCTACTTAGTTACTTTTGTCCTTCAAATTCCAGTTCAAGTGTCACCACTGGAGTATTCTGGCCTCTGATCTCCCTCTCTTCTTACTGTAGATCATGTAGTCTGTATGATATAATCTGTTATTAAAAGCTGGACCCTCCGATGTGTATTATTATTTCATGTATGTTGGTCTTACCTTCCCAAAGAGTATGTAACTTCACTATGGGTAGACACTTGGACCCAAATACCATATTTACATCAGTTAGCCTCATGATTAGCACAAAACAGACATTTCAACAGGTGCTCCCTGACTGCTCTGGGGCGCAGTTTCCAAAATGAAGTTGAAATCTTGGCTTCATTTGTGGCACTTTATATAAAGCTGACTTAGTCATTTAACGTCTATACACATTGTAACTTTCATTCTAGACTTGGAAGTTCTTTTAAAATTTGTGGCAAAAACCACGCGCGTACCCTGAGCATCTGACACTCTGTTTCTCCTTACCAATATCCTGGGCGTCCTGGTTGCTCTGTCTCGCTCGCATCTGCAGCTGGAACTTATGCTGGGAAGAGCAGAGCTGCAGCAGGTACTGGCACACCTTACTGCTGTCTGTCTGGAAGGCATGTTTTATGCCATCTGATGTGTTTTGCAATGTGATTTTCTTTTTCTACAATATTAATCAGGGGTGTTGTAATTAGGACGTTTTCCCGACACATAACTAAGTTCTGTAAACAATAGTAAGTAAGTACAGATATTATTTTTATTTCTCATTTAACACTCATTCGGCATGAGCGTTCCTTGACCTGCATCTAATATAAATATAGAAAAATAGAACCCTGTTATTATAACGGATTCAGCAAATAAATCAAATTAATATCATTTGTCACTTTCAGAGATTGTAGCCTAAATCAGACAGTATACTATACCAGCAAGGGAAAAGGTTCTTTTAATGAGATTATTGATATTTTGAGTTTACTGCATGCAGTGTTTACAAATACCATAACTGTTTGAAAAAGACATTACAAAAATATGTTCTTCTTGGGTAAGAAAATGAAATTCAACAAAAATTGATTTATTAATATATAAGAGCTGTGATTCTGTCAAGAAGAATTCTGGTGGCCTGAGGGCTGAGATGGAAATTGTGAAAAGTTAAAAGAAAATGTGGGAATAGAGAGGCACTGGGTAACATGGCTGCTGGGATGAGAGATAAAACACATCAAGATTTAGAGACAGAGTGATTCTTGCATTCAAATTCAGGGGAAACAGGAGAACCATCAATTAGTGTTATCTCTTCCATGTTTCTTGAAAAATAAACGTCTCTTGTGTAAGAGGGCATCCCAAAATGTTGCAACCTCTGTGGTGAGGCTTGCAGATGATTCGTACATCTTAAAAGACTAGCATTCAGCATGCCAGGAATCTAAGACTAATGTCTCTGGAGAACTGCTTAAGTCCAATTAGATTTTACTCCAGCTCTCGGCTGCTTCTACTGTGTAAATTATTCCCTCTATCTACTCATGTCCCTTGTTTTCAAATGCAGGAATAGTCACAGAGAAGTCAAATTTGGTGAGGCTCATAAATGACACAATAACAGAATATTACTCAAACTTCAATCATGCAGGTGCCTTCTTCATAATTTCTGGTCTTGTTAATTTATAAATTTTTAAATTGACTTTGCTTATATAAATTCACTTAAACTTTATATCACAGCTATAAATAGAAAACCAGTACCACTTGCCATAAATAGAATCCAGCTATTAAAAATATGTAATCAGGGGCACCTAGGTGGCTCAGTTGATTAAGCATCTGCCTTTAGGTGAGGTCATGATCTCAGGATCCTGGGATAGAGCCCTGCACGGGGCTCCCTGCTCAGTAGGGTATCTGCTTCTCTCTCTCCCTCTGCACCTGGCCCTTGCTCATGCTCTCTCTCTATCTCAAATAAATAAACAAATAAAATATTTAAAAAAGTATATGCAATCAATGCAATAAAAACAAAATAAGGTTATTATATTCTAGCTGGATATGTTACCAATGAAATCTCAGGGACCCTGTTCTCTCTTTCTGAAAAAAGGAAATCAGCAAGTATTAAAGAGGAGTTAAAAGAAACAGTATAATCAAACTAGTCTCTTTACTATCAGTAGTATATCTGACGATATACTACTGTGATGATTCACAGTGACGATTCAAATAGTTGGGGAATTTTTTTTTCCAAACAAACATAACCACTGTCAAGTAATTCCCTAGGATATTTTTCTCCAAAGTTGTAAAGCTGTACAGGTTTGAAACAAATTACAAGAATAATTGATTCTAAGTATTTACTGATAAAATGGACAAGAAATGTGTCCAAGGGAATTCAATTGTGAAAGATGAGAAAGGCGAAGGAGGGTGACATTTCTTTTTTTTTTTTTTTTGACAGAGAGAGACACAGCTAGAGAGGGAACACAAGCAGGGGGAGTGGGAGAGGGAGAAACAGGCTTGCCGTGGAGCAGGGAGCCCGATGCGGGGCTCGATCCCAGGACCCCGGGATCATGACCTGAGCCGAAGGCAGACGCTTAACGACTGAGCCACCCAGGCGCCCCAGGAGGGTGACATTTCTATCTCCCCAGAGGCTAGTGGGGGGTGGGGGGAATGAGGGTTAAAAAGACCTCTGTGTTGGAGAAGGGACTTCGGGATAAACAAGTTTTGTTAAACACAAGAACAGTCTGCATGGGAATGTGGTCTATTCTCTATTATTGGAGATCTTTAAAAATGAGCTAATCAAAGCTAGTTCTATATATGGCAGGGCTGGTGTGATGGCTTGGCTAACAATAGAGAGCTGAATGCTAGACAATTTATTTGATTTGTTGCCTTTTCTAAAATGGTCCAAATTAGATTTGTATTTAATTAATCTAAGGTTTCCTACCGATATTTGCTGTGCTAGCATTTCCATTGGGGAAGGTAAATTATACCAGGGCAATTTCCTGGTCTTGACAATCTTGGGAAGATTAGGCTGTCTGGGCTTTCCTGAGAGAACACATTATCATCTGGTAATCTTAGTGGTACCTCTGGGTTTCGCAGGAAACCAACCAACTAACCATCAAGTCTAGAACTGATTTCAAAGGTCTCTAGGTTGAAAATTAACCAGGGTAAGTTGGGACCTTGAGATTGATATCCTTACAAACAGTGTTCTAGTGAGACCATATTTCAGCCCAAATATGAATTAGAGATGTCAGTAGTCTCTTAATACCATAAGGAAAACAAATAAATATCTTAACATATTTTTTTATTCACCTCTGGGGCTTCTCAATTGCATTTCAATGTTCAGACACTCCAACCACTTCCAAAATCAAAATATGCCTTTATGGCTTACTATCTTTCATAAACATGATATTCTAAAACTTTACCTCCATATGGAATATACACTAAAACTTAAAACTGCAGAAAGTTCTGGGACATTAAAAACATTCCTAGGGGCGCCTGGGTGGCTGAGTCGTTAAGCGTCTGTCTTTGGCTCAGGTCATGATCTAGGGTCCTGGGATCGAGCCCTGCATCGGCTCCCTGCTCAGTGGGAAGCCTGCTTCTCCCTCTCCCACTCCCCCTGCTTGTGTTCCCTCCCTCACTGTCTCTCTGTCAAATAAATAAATTAAAATCTTTAAATAAAAAAGTTTTTAGTTCATAAAATCCAATAAATCTCTGGACTGCTAAAATTCAAACATAGTTGCTGTGAGGAGCCCATTATTGAGCTAGACAAAATTTACGAGGATTAAAATAATTATTTTTAAAAATACATTAGAGGGGTTTCTCCATGTGAGAAGTAAGTATCCCAGAATAAGTTCTGAATTAATAGAAAGTCAACTTGGTTGTAATTCAACTAAGTCAATTGAGCATGTAACCAGCTGGGAATGTATATTATTCTTTTAAAAATCACTTCCTGAGAAAACTAAAACCAAATAAAGATCTCCATAATACTTCCTACAACTAAGAAGAGTTAAATAGTATTAAAATGAAAAAAAAAAAGTATTAAAATGTATTAGCCCTACTGAATAGAAGGGTCTAAAGTTTACTTAAGGATAATCAATTAATATGTTACATTTGAAACTGACAACACATATCTTAAAATATAATGAAAAGGAGTTTAAATGGACATACGGAAAAAGAAATCTTCTTGGTTTCCCTCCATGGAAAGCGAAGGACCAGTGTGCGAACTCCATTGTGAACCTCAAACACAAGGACACCTTTAGAACAGACTCCAAGCAATATTCCAGTTTGTGACTTTTTCTCAGGGTGCACTCGATGAAAATGAACTCCATATTCTGTCAGTCTTTGGCAGACCTGTTGAACATCAATAGCAATGCACCTTGGTAAAGGGTGACAAAGATATAGAAGGTGTACCACTGTAGCTTGATATGGAAAGGATAGTCTTTTCAACAAATGGTGCTGAAACAAATGGATATTCACAGGCAAGAAAATGAATCTTGACCCTCAATTACACCCAGTATATGAAAATTAACCCCAAATAGGTCATAGACCTAAATATAGGAATTAAAACCATAAAGCTTAGAAAATCTTTATGGGTACGGGTTTGACAAAGATTTCTTTGTGGGACATAAAAAACATGAACTATAGAATAAAAAATTGGTAAACTGAAATTTTAGCTCTTCAAAAGTCAGTGATAAGAAAATATAAACGCAATGGGGTGCCTGGGTGGCTCAGTCAGTTAAGTGTCTGACTCTTGATTTCAGCTCAGGTCATGATCTCAGGGTTGCGAGATCGAGCCTTGTTTTGGGCTCTGCACTCATTGGGGAGTCTGCTTAAGATTCTCTCTCTTCCCCCCCATCTCCCTCTCTAAAAAAAAAAAAAAAAAAAAAGGAAAAGAAAAGAAAATATAAAGGCAGGCTACAGACTGCGAGGTAAATATATTATATATGTGATAAAGGAACTGTATCCAGCATATATAAAAAGCATGTATTTCTCAGCAATAAGGAGACATATAACCAGATACAAAGACGGGAAAAAGATTTTATTAGACACTTCAATGAAGAAGATACACAAATGGCAAATAAACACATAAAAAGATGCTCACCATAAATAGTAATTAAGGAAATACAAATTAACCTCACCACAATGATATACCACCACTTAACCTATTTCAATAGTTGAAGTGAAAAAGTCTGAGCATACCAAGTATTTTGAGGATGTGGAACAACTAGAAATCTCACATATTACTGGTAGTACTGTAAAATTGGACAGCCACTTTAGAACAATTTGGCATTTTCTTATAAACATACACTTCCCATAGATCCCAGCAACCCTACTGTTAGGTAATTACTCAAAAGAAATAAAAACCATATGCTCACATCAAAATGTGTATTTGAAAGTTTATAAAGCCTTTATATCCATCAACTAATGAAGAAATAAACAGGTTGTTTATCTGTACAGAGGGAAACTACCCAGCAAAAGAATGACAAAAAAAAACCCACAAAAAAGAAAAAAACCAACAACGACAATCAAAAAAATCCCCCAACAACAAAAAAACCACCACCACCAAAAAAACTGATACACATCATACCATGGATGAATCTCAAAAGTATTACTTCTAAGTGAAAAGAGCAAGATACAGGAGACTACTACATAATGCATAATTCTTTTTATGAAATTCTAGACAAGAAAAAACTATGGTGATAGAAAGGAGATCAGTAGTTGCCAAGGGCTGGGGTGGTGGTGGTGGGGGATTAACTGCAAAGGGACACAAGGAAACTTTTTTGGTTTTGGAAATGTGGGTTAGCAAGTCTTTGTCTTCATAGATACTTCTAGGGCTGGGAACCTTGGCTCTCTTCAATATGGAGCAAATGGAAGGCATACTATTACATACTAGGGAGCTGAACCAGGAGAATGTTCTGAAAGTTTCTCTTCTCAACAGAATACTATATTTTCTATTCTTATTGGAAGTAACACAATACTATCTTTCCTGATCATAAATGGACTATTTATCTGAGGTCGCAAAGAAAGCTGATGGCAGAACTGGAACCATAAAGCCATTTTTTTCTGACCCCCTTCCATTATGTGAATTAGTCAGCATTTATGAAATACCGTCTTTAAAGGATGTAATTGAATTTTAAGCCTTTTAAAAAACAAAGCAAAATAATTCTATCAAAAAATTCCGTTGTTACTTCTTTACAATGTATCTTGATACATTTATAATGTATCTTGAGTATAGAACAGAATAAAAGCAGAGAATCCATAGCCATGCAGATACAGGGTTCGAATTAGTTTTGCCCCACCTACCAGCCATTGACTTTGGGAATATTACATTTCCTCTTTGAGCTTTAGTCCTCTCTTTCACAGGATAATTAAAATACCATGGTTTTAGTCAGGAATAAGTGAGATGAGATAATGCATAGTATCAGTTATTGGCACTTGAGCTTTTAGATACCTATGTCCTCCAATATTTCTTGCTTACTTTAAAAAATATATAAACTTTATCATTTGTAATCCTGCATGCTTACCTTTAAAAATTCTAACTCTGTCTCTTTTTCAGAAGCTCCCACGTAGGTATTATGCAATTTTGGTAACTCTTCTTTAACATAGGATAAATCAAGTTTCTCCATCACTCTGGGAGGCAAATAATGCTCCAGTCTAAAATAAGACACACCATGAACCTAGAAAAGAGAATGTTTTTATAAGCAATTATGTTTGCCCTCTTCCTTCTATCTTAAAGTTCTTGCCTCAACCAAGAGGTAAGACACTTTTATTTAGACTTCTCCCTGAGGAGTGAGTTTTAGAGGAAATGCATCATTCTTTCTCTTTCATTTGGTGAGGTAAAACGGCTGAACTGATTAGCAAGCTTAAAGAGACAGACAACAAGGGCCAAATGTCACTACAGTTAGGGTTAATGTTGTGAAGGATGCTACTCAAGTGGCACTGACTCTTGCCCCTTGCTTCCTCTTAGATCCACTTTTTTCAGGAACAATTGGCCTCAAACATCTGCTTTCTGTACAGTGAACTCTGCTGGGTTCTCAGCCCATTACTGCATGGATCCATGTGGAAGGCAGAAGATCCCTTTGACCCAGATTTGGCTGGTAACCCTTGTGCCTAATATCTATTAATTAGAAATTGGGAGAAAGAAGGGTAAATGCTAGATATCCTGAAATTGTGAAACAGGAAATTTTACACAGAAAAAAGAAAAAGAGAGAGAGAGAAAGCTACACTGTATGATTTTTACATACCAATGTACGTGAGGAATCTGGTCACTCTAAGGTACCAAACTAGCCTCAAAAATCTCCAGATATTGGGGCGCCTGCGTGGTGCAATTGGTTGAGCATCTGACTCATGGTTTCAGCTCAGGTCATGATCGCAGGGTTGTGGGACTGGAACCCTGTGTCAGGCTCCAGGCTCAGCGTGGAGTCTGCTTGAGATTCTCTCTTGCTCTCCCTCTGCCCCTCCTGCCAATTCTCTCTCTCTCTCTCAAATACATCTTAAAAACAACTCCAGATCTAAATAGCAAACACATCATCCAGGTTCAGTTTTTAATTATGCCGAGGATAAAAATATCAATATGAAAGTGGCCCTGGAGAAAAAAAAAAACAAATCCTACCTCTGGTTGATAATCTCCATATTCAGCCTGGAGAGCCAAGGATGCCAGTAATAAAGAAGTCTCATCATCACAATGCATCCTCTCCTCCAAGATATCCTTTCGCAGCTGAAGATAATACTGATGACAGGTCAGGGTATGTCTGGAGAAATAAACGCACACTAAACATCTAGGCTTCATCTTGAATCTGGAGAGATTTTTATTATTGGCATATAAGTTGAGTTCCCAAGATGGTTTATTATTAATCTTTTAAGGCACAAGAATTTAATAAACTATGTTGAAGGAAATATTTCTTTTATGATAGAGAAGACATTTACTGAATCAAATAATTCAGTATCAGTAAACTAAAGGGTCCAAAGACCAGAAGCCAAAAAGACAAAAATAGAAACTTGTGTACTCACTGTATTAGACTAACATCATCCATGAAAAATTTAATTCGGAAAAACAAAGTAAAATTAACAGCGGCTTTGCTCTTTTTCTTTGGTTCTTCTTTCCATCCCTCTGGGGCCACTTTGGTTAATTTTAAATCAGGATCAACAAAGAAATATTCATTATCTAAAACAGAACGAGGAAACACTCAGATAAAAATACTTCAATGTTTTCTTCTGATTCCTTCGTAGTTTTTTTTTTTTTTTTTTTTGCGGTGGGGGGTGGTCAGACTTGCACAAAGGAGTTTCACACAAGAATAAAATAAGATTGTTAAGAAGTATGGCAGGGAATGCTGAAGGTAACTGCCTACAGACTGGGGGCAATAGGGTATGTCTGAGTCTTTTTTTTTTTTTAAGATTTTATTTATGTATTTGACAGAGAGAGACACAGCGAGAGAGGGAACACAAGCAGGGGGAGTGGGAGAGGGAGAAGCAGGCTTCCTGACGAAGCAGGGATCCCGATGTGGGGCTCGATCCCAGCACCCTGGGATCATGACCTGAGCTGAAGGCAGACGCTCAACGACTGAGCCACCCAGGCGCCCCTGTCTGAGTCTTTTAAGACAGGGTTCTAAGGGCAGATAGAACTAGATTCAAATCCACCACATCATTTACTGTCCATGTGACACTGACTAAATTATTTAACCTTTCTAGACATCAATTTTCTTGTCTGTAATATCAGGATAGTGCTAATTCCTGCCTTATTGTATTATTGTAGGGATCAAATGACCTAAGCCATATAAAACACTTGGTAAAGCATGTGCCATATGGTAAGCATTCAATAAATATTATTTATTATTATTGAGCTTCCAACTGAAACCTAGGAAAAAAATACTCATCATTTTGTAATTCCATCTAAATATTATTGACTCTTTCCAAATAAAAGGTTTTCGATAAAATTTGACTTATCCAGGAGGTTCAAGAAATTAGGTGTACTATAAACAGAAATTCTGATTAATTATTCATGTGAATGGTATTACCTGATTAGTCTAAACTTGTAAGTAGTAAAGTGACAGAACATTAGTAGGCACTAATTGAATGTTTACTGGATGACTCTATAAAGTGAACTATTAGTTTTTTTGTTTTTTTTTAAAGATTTTATTTTTATTTATTTGAGACAGAGAGAATGAGAGAGAGAGAGAGAGCACATGAGAGGGGGGAGGGTCAGAGGGAGACGCAGGCTCCCTGCTGAGCAGGGAGCCCAATGCGGGACTCGATCCAGGGACTCCAGGATCATGACCTGAGCCGAAAGCAGTCGCTTAACCAACTGAGCCACCCAGGCGCCCGTGAACTATTAGTTTTTAAGAAACAAGAATTCAATAAACTAAATTGAAGAAAACATTTCTTTTGTGACAAAAAGGACATTATCCTAATCTTGTAGGGTTTTAAGATAATTTGATCCTCAACTGCAATTTATGGTACTCTGTTGCCTAAGGTAAGTTAAATTTTGAGGTAAACAGGAATTTGAAATATTGAAGAGTAATTTATAAATACAATGATTTATTAAAGCCCAACTCCAAAGCAATAAGGAGCTATGGAAATTCTAAGTGATAAATAAATAGGAGTGATTTCACTGAAGCTCTGCTCTGAGGCCACTGGGAATGCCACAAAGTTCAGTGCATGTAAATCTTAAAAAATATGTAAAATGATGTATTTGCAGTCACGAAGTGAAAACATTTAAAAGAGACACTGTATGTTTTTAGGATAGTAGGCTAAAGAAGCTGATGTGGAGATTCAGAAATAGGATCCTGCTATATATTTAAATTCAGATTAGCAGGATACTAATTTCTAGAGTATATATGTAGGTAATTGACATATATAATGGTCCCCAAAATATAATAATTAAAATCCACTTCAGTATACTGAGCTAAAGAAAAATGTTCACGGTCAGGTATAGAAGATGCTAAAAGACACAGCTATTAAAACAATGAAACTAGGGGTGCCTGGGCAGCTCAGTCATTAAGCATCTGCCTTCGGCTCAGGTCATGATCTCAGGCTCCTGGGATCGAGCCCCGCATCGGGCTCCCTGCTCAGCAGGAAGCCTGCTTCCTCCTCTCCCACTCCCCCTGTTTGTGTTCCTTCTCTCGCTATGTCTCTGTCAAATAAATAAATAAAATCTTAAAAAAAAAAAAAAAAAAACACAATGAACCTAATTAGGAGAAGGGAGTTCCTAACTCCTACTTCTCAATGCTGACATGTTCATGTAGTTAACATTTCCCAAAACAAGTTGGGCAATAACAGGTATGAAAGCTTGTTGCCAAGTTTCCATACTACACCCTGAACTTAAAATATCTTGGTACCTTTGAGGGTAGCTAAAGCAAACAAATGATGTTCCACTAAGCCAATGTGGGCCACAATCATATCAAACACATCTTTACATATAGTTTTGGTATCACAAGTCAGTTCCAGTCTCTGCCCACTCAGAAGCATTATGTTTACTTTTCTTCGGTTATCTTCATTCTTCCCTTTCTTGGCCTACAATTGAAAAAAAGAAAATGAATGATATCCATTAAAGTAAACATTATAAGAATTTTAACTGTTTTTTTAAAAAAGTCATTACTGAAATTATTTTCTAAGAGTGACACAAGTTGGTTTTATTACTTACAAGGATAGACCGTGGCAAATCCAAAGATATAAATGGCTCAATCGTCATCTTCACAAACTCAGGGCCAAAGAAATTCTGCGAATTACATAAGTAGAATCAACAGTTTTTACCTCTTAGGCTAGGTCTTTCCTTAAAAGGCAAATATTATAATAATAATAATAATAATAATAATAATAAATTACATGTAAAGCCACCACAATAGAACTAGGTGATCTGAAACAAATGTAGCAATGTTTAATAAAGAAGTATGGTGGCTTTTACGAAGGACAGGAATGGAATATGCCTTACACCAAATGTAAACAGAAGTTCTTCCTCAGTTTCATTTTTTACCAGTGATGTCAAATATAAAGCCTTGCTTCATACTGTTTTACAAATTTTTCATTTTTTGGCCTTCAGATAAACTCAGACTGTCAAAAAAAATAGTAGCCTTAATTACTGAAGTAATACAGAGTTATCAAGCTCATGATAAGGATTTGGTTTAGTACTGCTAAGGTGTGAAGTGATTGAACACAATCTCATTTTGTTTTAGAGAGTGATGTTTCATGTATCCTAAAATAAATCATAGTTAAAGGACATCTACTTTGTAATTACAAAATACACATACCCATTCATAATCATGTGCTTGGAACCCTGTGACATTCACTGTCTTTTTTTTTCTAAATAGTTGACAGTTAGGGATATTACAGATATCAGCCTTTGTCCCCCACTGCTACCCCCAGTGAGAAAACATTATCTCAGGAGAGAGGGGAGACTCAGGAGCTGGGGAAAGTGGAGTCCACACACTTCATTTACTGCTTCTCAATCTACTTCTTGCCTGTACCTCTTGCATATCCAGAAGTTTCTCCCAAAAGTGGTACCTGGTTGAGGAAATAACTTAAAAAAAGTTAAGATTCCAGGTGGAAGCAGAATTCAGAACAGACTGAAAGATAATGTGCAAATGGGCAAAAAGTACAATGAAAGGGCTAATCTTGAGGCCAAAGGCAGGTGGTGTGTTTGTGTGCGCGTGTGCACACATGAGCGCATGTGCAGTAATGTGCGTGCATGAGTTTGCACTCAGGAAGTTTACTGGGGTTTTATTTTTGTTGGTTTCTTCTTTTGTTGCTTGATGTGGGAATTCTATCCAATTAACCAAGTGTGGAACATGTGACAGATACTATTTAAATAAAACATTAACTTTAAGGGTTTGTTAATACTCAACCAGCCAGTAGGACACATTTTAAATGAGAACAGAAATAGAGCAGAAAAAAAGAAAATGGTCTGCCTTGGGGAATACAGAATCTAACACAGATCAACTAAAGCTACAGTGTATAAACAAGTTAAAATGTCTCTGCACCAAAAGTAACCTACAAAAAATCAAATATTTATGTTTTGGGAAAGAACATTAATTAAATGGTGTAATTGTTCCTTCAAATACTAGCACTGTTTCTCAGCACTAAAAACATGCCCTTCCTGCTCTTTTCAGAAAAAACACGCGGTCCTTTAATGACCACCAGTTCACATTCTGTAGTCACTGATATAGTATGTCTTTGATGAAGAGATGTTTGTTTTTGAAATAGCCAGAAACTGACTGCCTAAAAGGAAACACAGGTTTTTAGTGAGATGGTGCATAACAGTGGCATACTGTAAAGATACAGGATACCAAAAAAAAAAAAAAAAAAAAAGATACAGGATACCATTTATGAATCTCTAATAAGCTATGTTCTACATTAGCTCTCTAAAATTATGATTTAGGAAAAAGGTGTATATATACGTGCTCGTTATAGTTTATGCGTGCATTTAATTACTGGAAGCCCACACTATTTTGTATGATATCTTGCCTAGTTCTTAATTTTGACAAAGATATTGGTGATCATGATAAATTGATGAGGCTTATTGAGTTTCTTCCTTTCAGCTTAATCATATTTTATGGGAATCTAACAATTTTAAAAGTAGACAGTATCTTATAAATTTCAACCCAATGCCACATTTAAAAAATTAGCACAATAAAGAACAAAGTGGTTTAAAAATTTGCCTAAAATCATATAACAGCATTATTAACAATAGAAACCAAGCCTTTGAATTTGTGGTTCAAACAATTTTCACCACCCAGTACTGTTTCTTCTCCTTAGAAAACTTTGAGGGAAATTTGAATTCTATCAACTCTAGGGCATACAAATATGCTTTTGAGACAATTCTTTAAAAAAAAAAAAAAAGACAATTATTTGAAACAAGCAACAAAAAAACCAAAACAGAATGTGGGTAATACACAAGTGCAGAACTAAAAAGAAAAAATTCATCCTAGGTTTTATCACTTTTACTACTATTTATTTCATGTTTGAAGAATTATTTGTATAGGAACAATACAAACAAGATACTGCCTCACCTATCAAATTGGTGATGATAAAAAAAGAATGACAATATCCAGAGAAGGTAAGAATATGGTGAAACAGGCATGAACACAGGAAGCATAAATTTGTACAAACATTGTGAAGGACAATTTGACAATATGTATCAAATGTTTTAAAATGTGCATGCCTTTGACTTGGCTATTCTACTTGGAGGAAGCTACCTGCAAAGATTTAGCTAAAGGGATGTTCATCAGAGCATTGCTTGCAATAGCAACAACAAATTAGAAATATTTTCAATGTCCAGTGGCACCTGGGTGGTTCAGTTGGTCATGCATCTGCCTTCAGCTCAGGTCCTGATCTTGGGGTCCTGGGATTCAGCCCATATTGGAGTCCCGCATCAGGCTCCCTGCTCAGTGGGGAGTCTGCTTCTTTCTCTCCCTCTCTCCTCCCATCCCCCACTCGTGCTCTCTCTCAAATAAATAAAAACTTTAAAAGAAAAAAAAATATTTTCAATGTCCAATAATTAGAAACTGATGGAAGAAATCATGGTACATGATAAATTCACATAATGAAGTACTTTCTAGCCCTTAACAATAATATTATAGGAGTTGTAAAATGTTCAAGATATTTCACATGAGAAGACTGTTCATTTTGAGCTTATGTTTATAAAAATATATAGGACATATGTTGAAAGAAAAGTAAACTAACTAAACACATTAAAAAAAATCCCCCCGATAAAGGATGCAGATTTGTTCCTTTTGTCTTTCAATATTGTAATACAAAGATACAATGCTTGAAGCTCATGTGATCATCTTCTGATTTCAAAGTAAATCACTATCAAAATTCTGAGAATGGCAGAGCAGAAAGATGGAATGTACTTGATAATTCTTGAGCTTCTGAATCAATCCTGAACTCTATTCCTGATCTTCTTGGTTTCAGAGATAATAAATTTCTTAATATTAAAAGATAATCCCCTACAATACTAAATAAATAAATTGACTTTAAGGATCATAAATATACTTTAAAAATATACAGTGTATTTAGAATATCTTATTCTAAATCCATCTAATGTTATTTTAAAAATGAAATAATGAAACAGCTAAATATTTATTTTAATATCAACCAACATAATATCAACCAACATTTAACACCAGTAGAATTAATATGGGATTTCTATTTCATCTATAGGGAATTTCAGGACACCTACAGAACTTAAAAGTATTTTGCGTAACATGTTCCTGTGAGTATGTTAACTAACCAGAATTTTTTTTTAAAGATTTTATTTATTTATGCGAGAGATTTATTTGAGAGACAGCACGAGCAGTGGGGAGGGGCAGAGGGAGAGGGAGAAGCAGATTCCCAGAGGAGGGAGCCCTATGCGGAACTCGATCCCAGGACCCCAAGATTGTGACCTGAGCTGAAGGCAGATGCTTAACTGACTGAGCCACCCAGGCGCCCAACTAACTGGAATTTAAGTAAAAACTTAAAAAAAAGAGAAATTTCCCTGTGAGACCAAGTGTAAATTCAGTAATCTGAGAATTAACTTACCCTCAGTTTTCTTTGGGTCATGGCTGTTTCAAGGGCCATTTCTCTTAAGGGATCCCTGCTGATGTCAAGCATAGAGGCTTTGATTGTGTCTCCCGGATACAAGCTCAGCCGAGACTGTCTAAGGGCCATTCTGGCTTGTAGCTGCATCATTTCTTCTTCTTGCCGTTTTAGCATAATCTCTTGATTAACTACATTGCCTTCAAGGGGTGTTTCATATTGTCTACTGTATAGAAATGAGACGAAAACAATTATTTTAACCTAATCAAGAAAGAAAAACAGGTTAAGTAAGGTATCAAGAATTTCAACAATTTTTATTTTGTCTTCTGAGAAGAACTGTTGCAGTAACATTTCAATCCTACTTTTAAACTGATAATAGTACGTTTCCCCATTTCCACTGGATAGATCTACATGCTCCATCTCTTCTCTAAACATTCTAGCATCCTCTGAAAACTGCTTCCGCTGCAGTTCTCTTCAGATGGGGTTGTTTATTCTTATAGTCCTGTACCACTGGGCCTGGAGATAGGATAGAGATTTCCCTTTTTTTTCTTTTTTCTTTTTAAGATTTATTTATTTATTTGAGAGAGAGAGAAAGAGCAAGCACAAGCAGGAGCGCAGAGACAGAGGGAGAGAGAATCTGAAGCAGACTCCGTGCTGAGCATGGAGCTTGACGTGGGGCTAGATCTCACGATCCCGAGACCACAACCCTAGCCGAAACCAAGAGTTGGATGCTCAACTGACTTCGCCATCCAGGTGCCCCTAGATTTCTCTTAATTCTTATTTCAGCTTCCAGACCATTGCTGACCTAGAATAGCTCCCAACTTCCCTGAAGTACATGCTATGAAATCACTTAATCCACTGCTGTGCTTTTGCTTTAGACATTTAATTATCCTATTGGTCAAGTCTCCCTTATTCATTAAAGATTTAAGTACCTGACTCAGTCCTTTCCTCTGTCAGTAATCCTGTCATCATTCAAGATGGTGTTATACAGACTGAGGAGTTCTCCAACACTCTGCCCCCCTCCCCCCGCCCCCAGCCAGCCAGCCATCTACTCCCATGGTTATGCTGTCTATAAACAATAATTGCACTACCTCGAAAATGTCCTATTTCTACCCTCCAATGGCTTCTCTATCTAATCTTATTTTTTTTAGCTCACTACCTCTAATATCCTTCTTAAAATAATTCATTGACTCCAGCACTTTCTCTATTACCCTTCTCTTGCCCTTACACTGCTTGAATTCCAAGGCCCATCATTAAAATCACTCCTTTGCAGACAATCTCAACTCTCATGAAACTGCAGAACCATGCTGATTGATCTCACTGGGCTCTCAGCACTATCTGGCAACTCATTTTCTTAGAGAACTATTTTATACCTTCTTCCTTCCCTTTTCTTTTCAAAGCTCAAATACTCTCTCCCTTGTTCTCTCTACTGACGGTCTTTCCTCAGTTTTCTTGGTGAACTAAGAAGCAATCAGGAAATAACTTCCTCATCCTTCTACCACCAAATTTTCCAGATCTACATCCATATGTTTTTGTCTTCTTTTCGGTAACCACGATGGATCTCCTCCTGCACCCTTACAGAGGCCTGATACCTCTCCTGGGCATGGAATTCCATCCCCTCTCTTACTACTCAGAGACTTTGCCCCTGCAGTTATCCCCTAACGTGCATCCATAATATCATACACTATGTGATTCTCACTAGTCTACAAACATGATATACTATTTCTTACTCAGCACAAAAAAAATCCTCCTTTGGTTGTACATCCCCTTTTGGACTCATCCCATTCTTTCCTTCTGTCTTTTAGAGCAAATCTCTTCAAACTGTCATTTAAGTTTTATCTCTACTTCATCTCCCACTCTCTTGGACTCAGACCAGTAGTTTTAGTCCCTACTATTCCACCAAAGCTGTTCACAAAAATGAGTGAACTCGTTGTTGTCAAAGCCAAAGGATAATTCTCAATTTTCACTTTATTTGACTCTAAGCACCAAAAGACATAGTTGCTCAGTCCTTCCTATTCTTTTTGTTTTGTTTTGTTTCAGAGGTGGGGAGGGACAGAAGGAGAGGGAGAGAGAGAATCCTAAGCAGGCTCCACATGCAGCATGGCGCCTGAAATGGGGCTCGGTCTCATGACTCTGAGATCATGACTTGAGCCGAAATCAAGAGCCAGACGCTTAAATGACTGAGCTACCCAGGTGTAGTCCTTCCATAGTCTTAAAACATTTCCCTTCTGGAAAACCATGCTCTTTTTATTTTCCTTCTACTTTACTGGCTTTTCCTTCTTGGTCTCTTTTGTTGGCACCTCCTTCATTTCTAATCTCCTAGTTTTAGACTACAATAGTGCTCAGACCTCCAGATTTTCCTAGTCTCCATATATACTCCATACCTACATGATCTTATCTAGTTACATGGCCTTAATTACTTTATTTATGCCTATAATTCAGTCTCTCCTCTGAATTCTAATTTTATTTGCCTAGGTGAGTGTTCTACTTGGATGTTAATATGCATCTTTAGGCTAATATGTCTCAAATCAGATTCTTGATATTTTTTCCCCTTGTCCAACCTTTTCTCAATCATTCACCAGTTGCTTACAACGCAACTGGGAATCATTCTTGATTCCTCTATCCTACAAATCCCCTATCTGATTGGGCAGCAAATCCTGAAAGCACAACCTTGAAAATATCTATATCTGACTCTTCTCTATCACTAGCAATCTAATCTGGGCTATATCTATCCAAATGGATGTGGGGCTAGATCTCACTATGATTACTTCCAACAGGGCTTTTACTCTTGTAAACTGTTCTTCAAACAGAACAGAGTAATCCCATTAAATGTAAATTAGACCTGTGTTTTCAAGCCACTCAATGGCTTCCCATCATACATCCAAATTGTTCACGTAAGCTTCTGAGGTATGACATGATTTGGATTCTGGTTACTACCCACTCTGCCTTTCTCTCATCCTGCTGCACCCACACCGTCCTTCCTGTATTGCTCTGACATGCAACACATCTCCCATAACTCAAGGCCTTTGCTCTTGTCATTCCTTTTGTTTGGAAGGAACCCCGTCTCCTGCTATATGCACAGTTCACCCCATCACTTAAAATAGTTTTCTATCCAAATATAATCCTTGGGAGAGGCCTCCTCTAATCACCCTACCTATGTATAAAAGAACCTGGACATCACAACCCTGCACTCTCTATCCCTTAAGCCTACTTTTTTTTCCTTTTTTTTTTTTTTACTCTTTTCCAATTAAAATTTTTATTATTGAAGTGTAGTTGATATACAATGGTATATTAGTTTCAGGTGAACAACATGGTGATATGACAATTCTGTATTACTCAATGCTTACCATGTTAAGTGTATTCACCATACAAAGTTATTACAGTATTATTGACTATCTCCCAATGCTGTACTTTCTATTTCCGTGACTTACTTATTTTATAACTGGAAGACTGTACCTCTTAATCCCCTTCAGTTATTTCACTCCCTCCCCACTTTCACAATCAATAGTTTGTTCTCTGTATTAATAAGTCTGTTTCTGTTTTGTTTGTTCATTTGTTTTGTTTTTTAGATTTCACATATAAATGAAATCATATGGTATTTGTCTTTGACTTTTTTCACTTAGCATAATACCCTCTGGGTCCATCCATGTTGTTGCAAATGGCAAGATCTCATTCTTTTTTATGGCTGAGTAATATTCCAGGGTGTGTGTGTGTGTGTGTGTGTGTGTGTGTGTGTCTTCTTTATCCATTCATCTACTGATGGGCACTTGGGTTGCTTCCATATCTTGGCTACTGTAAATAGTGTTGTAGTAAACACAGAGGTGCAAATATGTTTTTATTATTTTTTTTTATTTGCAAATGTTTTTAAATTGGTGTTTTCATTTCCTTTGGGTAAATATCCACTAGTGGAATTATTGGATCATATGGTATTTCTATTTTTAATTTTTTGAGGAACCTCCATACTGTTTTCCACAGTGGTTGCACCACTTTACATTCCCACCAACTGTGCATGGGGATTCCTTTTTCTCCACATCCTCGCCAACACTTGTTTCTTGTCTTCTTGATTTTAGGCATTCTGGCAGGTGTAAGGTGATACTGCATTGTGGTTTTGATTTGCATTTCCCTGATGATTAATGATGTTGAGCATCTTTTCATTTGCCTACTGGCCATGTGTATGTGTTCTTTGGAAAAATGTCTGTTCTGGTCCTCTGCCCATTTTTAAATTGGATCATCTGACTTTTTTGGTGTTGATATATATATATTATATAATATAATATATATACTACATATATAGTATATATATATATTATATATAATTTCTTTATATATCTTGGATATGATCCCTTATCAGAAATATCACTTATATATATCTTCTCCCCATCAGTAGGTTGACTTTTCATTTTGTTGATCACTGTTTGCCTCTAGGTGCACTCTCTATCCCCTTAGCCTGCTTTATTTTTCTTTAAAGCACCATCATTATCTGATGGTGCATTTACTTACTTGTTTTTTAATGGTTTACTGGCTATCTCTCAGCCCTAGAAATTCCTTTGAGGGACAGTTTTTCTTGTTTTTTTGCATGACTCTATCTCCAGTACCTAAAAGTTCCCAGTAGATGGTAGGTGCACAGCAATCATTTCTTGAGCAAATGACAGAATGTAATTTTATGGCTCTCTCACTTAATATGGGGGGGGGTGTCAAGGATAATAATAAGAACCTGAATCTATACATTTTAACTTGCACCTGTTGGTTTCATTAAATATATTAGCCTTCTTGTTCAAAGTTAAGTCGGAAAAATAAGCTACCTCCTCAAGCAGATAGGCACAGAAACAGTGGGAATTGTACTATGTATAAACTGTACTTCAAAAGTTAACACAGAAAAAACTTAGAGATGTTCTTTGGAAAACAGCTTTGAATATCCTTTTTGGTCACTGAAAGACACTTTTGGTAACTCAGAATCAAAAAATTACTCATTCTGCTGTATCTGACTCATAATTTCCTGTTAATTTCCCCCCACCCCCTATGATACAAATCAACAGCACTGCCTGGATCTGTTTCTCCATTTCATTCTAGCTAAAGGGAATGGAAATTTTTATAAAGAAGCATGCAACATGTCTAAATATAGCACTATTTATAGATCTCACAAATATATGACCTAAAGAACAAAACAGGACCTCCTAATTGTGTGCCAGCATGCTAAGGATGTTATTAGAAACCTTTGTTCACATTCAGAAAATTCTGCACTTGAATAAGGAATTTAGAGTATTTTACTTAATGTGTTTGTCGGTGGGCAGAAAAAGGGGATGGGACTTGTCTAAAAGAAGTAGAGTTTAGCATCTTACATTAAATATAACATATACACAGATTTAACAACCTACTTTTCCTTGAAATATTTTTTTGTGTATGTCTTTATCTAATGGAGATGCTATGAATGCCACATTGAGTTTTTTTTTCCGCTTGAAGTGTGAAATAAAAGACAGTTTATCATTAGAACACGATTTAATGAACTAAAGTGACCTTAAAGTTAATGTCTCCTAGGGGCAGTTGTTAAGCGTCTGCCTTCGGCTCAGGTCGTGATCCCAGAGTCCTGAGATCAAGCCCCGCATCCGGCCCCCTGCTCCGCAGGAAGCCTGCTTCTCCCTCTCCCACTCCCCCTGCTTGTGTTCCCTCTCTTGCTGTGTCTTTCTCTGTCAAATAAATAAATAAAATCTTTAAAAAATAAATAAATAAAGTTAATGTCTCCTAAAAATAAAACTTGGAAACAGTTGAAACAAATATTCTCTTATAATCTTTTGAGGTAACTTATCAAGAAAATTGAAATAAGACTCACAAAATGATTTAATTTTATTTGGAGGAATATGTTCTTAACCAACTGAGGCACCCAGGCGTCCCTTGGAGGAATATGTTCTTAAACAACTAACAAATGAACGATAAAATCAATTTTTAATACATAAGCCCAATAATTCTCCAGTTGTCTTTACTCATGTTTTCATCAAGCTAAAGCGCATCATACTATTTATATAAAATTTCTCCAAATTAAATACGTAGTGAGGAATAACTCCCGCAATTCACCACAGTGCTGACTGCATTTCAATATTTGCTTCTTATTGCTGTTCATCACAAAATGCTTTTGTGTCTTTAAGAAAACTGTATAACATCAAACATAAACCTATCTTTGTCTCTTACCTCTTTGTTCAAAATTACCAAATCAGGGTTATCACCACAATGGGGTCCTAGTAATATAAAATCCTACTATGCAAATAAAATACTGCTTTAGGTAAATGAATACTTATTAGAGCTTTCCTCGGAGGAAATAAAGTATCATGGACTATTTTATTTTATTTTTAATTTTTATTGTTATGTTAATCAGCATACATTACATCATTAGTTTTTGATGTTCATGGACTATTTTAAAAGGCATAAGAGGAGAGAAAAAGACATAAATTTAATAAAAACTGCAATATTAAAAGGAATAACTTTAGTGCAATGTATTTAATTACTTGGAGTCTAAAACCTAGATAAATTGTCTGTTTTAATCACATGGCTACTGTTACCTGGTCTATTAATAGTTTACAGGTGTGAAACAGTGTCTGCCAGAATTAATTAGCTAAGGGGCAAGTTTTTGTTAATCTCCAAATGATTCTTTTGTATATGGTGACACTTGAATTAAACAAATTAAGATATCAAATTTAAAAGGATTTCCATAGTTTGGGAGTAAATTCTGAAGCAACCTCTAGTTCTGTAATAACACATTACAAATTTCAAATAAATGTTTAACATTAACAATATGCTTTTATTCATGTAAGGGACTTGTGCACATAGGAAAAGGATACACATCAAAATATTCAGTAATGGCTTGACACTGTTCAGTTTAAATAAAGTAAATCAATATATAGCTATAATACCACCATCCTAAGCACAGCACAAGAATAATACCTAACACCTTATAAGAAAGCTGAATCTTTCAGTATGAAAATGAACTTGAAATAGCCCAAATTGGACTTTAAAAAAAAAACCACAAGATAATCTCTTTTAAGCCAGTAAATATGTAGTGAATAATTAACTTTTAACATAATACGTTACTTAGTAGTAACCTACTCATTACCCATTCAAAAAAAATACTCCCTGAAAACCTGCTTGTTGAGCCTGTTCAACTTTTCAAGAGAAATTACTCTCTTAGAAATTAAGGTTTATTATCTTCTCACAGATGTTTGATGCCATCCCCTCAGAACTTCCTGTTAATATGTTATTTTATATACATATTGACAATTTTAATTTCAAGCACAAACTATAAATAATCAGAGCCAATTCTAATTTTATTTATTTATTTATTTTTTAAAGATCTTATTTATTTATTTGACACACAGAGAGAGACACAGTGAGAGAGGGAACACAATCACGGGGAGTCCAAGAGGGAGAAGCAGGCTTCCCGCCGAGCAGGGAGCCCGATGCGGGGCTCGATCCCAGGACCCTGGGATCATGACCTGAGCCAAAGGCAGACGCTCAACGACTGAGCCGTCCAGGGCGCCCCGCCAGTTCTAATTTTAAAAGATTCCAATAACTCAAACTCAAACTACTACAGTGTCTTTCACATAATTAAATGAATTTCCAAGAATTTAAAGAAGAGGTAAAGAAAAAAGGAAAATGGAGAAAAGAGAGAAAAGAGGATAATTTTGAAAACTTCTCCTTGATTCTAATAAAGAAAAACAAAACACCTGTCACTGGTAATATATTATTACTATTTTTTCATATCACATACCTTGGTCTCTGTGACTGGCCTTGACTTGGGTTTTCACCTACCCCTGGGAGACCACTGTTAGATTCAAACCTCTTGGAAGCTTCACTTTTTCGTACTAATTAAAGAATGAAAAAAGGAATGAAAAAAGAAATAACAGCACAGGTGATAAAAATATGAAGTAGCCTTATTTAAAACTCAAGCACTTAGCAGATACACTAAGGTAATTTTTATAAATCACATTTATACCATCAAATTAATGACATAATGTCATTAAACTCTTCAGGGATAAGTCATATTATTTTTAAAGACAATGAATTAATTCCTATTATGAAAATGACTACATTATTCTTTGATGAAACTATTAAGCTCCTATAATACTCTTAAAATGAGTAACCAGCAGCTTTTTATAATTTTTAAATTTTATATAGAATTATTCTTTTGACACCTTATATCTTAACACTACTGAAAAATAAGGACATTCATGGTTTCTTAAAGACATTTTGGTTATCCAGATGCCTCTCACCTTGTCGGAAATCTGATTCAGAGGAAACGATAGATGGACTTTCACTGGAGGTACTAAAGATATCACTGTGGTAAGTTTTATATCTTCGAATTGGTTCTAAAAGGATTAAACAAAAACATTAGAAAGCAAATGCATTAACTGTTCCACACAAATCAAATACTACATTTACTCTTATGAGACTAGAACATTTTATATATTGCTTTAAATTTACCAATTGCTGGATGATACTCAAACAACGTGATTCCAATTTTGAGGCAGTTTGACATACTGGTTAAGAACCTGGACTCTGACACCAGATTATCTGGGCTTGAATCTCAGCTCACTACTTGCCAGCTGTGTGACACATTAGGAACTTTCCAGAAATGAAAATCTGAGCATAAAGTCTTCAGGATAAAATTTAAAACCTCCTTAGCTTGGTATTCAAAGCCTTTAATAACCTGGTCTCCGACTACATTTATAGCAGTGGCTCTTAATATTGTGGAGTCACAGATTCATTTGTTAGAATTTGATGAAAACTACAGACCTCTCTCCACCCACTCCCCAAAACATACAAAACGACAAACTTTTTAATGTAAAAAAAAAAAAGATTGAATGAGTTATCTGAATCCTTGTGGCAGGGTGGAATGTCTGAGCATGATGTTCGTGGATAATAAGCCTGCAGAATGAGAGAGACTGATGTTGCAAATGATGGTGGGGAAAACTGATGAAAAAATGTGCTGAAGGAAACAGGAGATGGGGAAAAAAAACCCCCAACATACATGCATAGTAATTTCAGCAAGGAGGAAGAACTTTTTCTTCTTAAGAAATGATGGACAAGGGAAAGAGTGAAGATACAGAAGGAATCCCAAGATACTCATATCAGAAGTTGCCTTACTCCTGGTAATAAAAAGTGCTTCACTTCCTGAGAGCCAGGGGCCAGGAGCTTGAGAAGAGTAAAGAAATTCTGCTAAGAAGAGTGTGATAAGTCAGTAAAAACCACATGAAAGCTTTTATATATCCATGAGAGCTTAGATTAGGCTAGAATGTATGAATTTTATTGGAACCAGTCAGAATGGTTTGGTGGTTTTTTCTTGGCACTAGAGAAACAAAACCATGGGAAACACTAGAACTGAGGTGGGGGAGACATGGGATGTATGATGGCACACAATGGATAGATGTGAGGGATTCTTTTTTACTAGTTTGCAAACTGGAGAACAGGAACTTTACAAAATGAATTATTCCTTGTGCTGCAAGGTGTTCAGTAGAGATTGTTAAAAGAAAAAGGGATGAATAAACGAGTGAGAGAGTCAAATGGCAACACAGGAACCAGGCTTGTAGAACCAAGATGAACATGATGGGCTGGAAGAATGGGAAGGTCATGCTGAGACAAAGACGGAAAAATGGCCACTTGATGGAGAGGAAGTTGCACATTGTTCTTGTGGCAATGTTTACCTGGAGAAGTAGGCATGATACAGAAGACCTCTACTTTGTTCACCTTTGTACACATTGAACATGAGTATGAAATAATACCATAATTAATGGAAAGAGTTTTGGGATTGAAAATCCAAATATTTACTAGTACTTTAAAAAAATGATTCCATTCTACCACAAGCAAGTCTCATGGTAAATAAGATAATTAAAAAAAAAAATTCTCTGGTTTAAAATAAATGTGATTTGAAAAGATTTTAGAAGATATCAAACAATGGTTTTGTCTAGTTCTATTTAAATTTAATGAACAATTAAATGGTTACTTAAGAAGAACTGCTATTTTCCAAGGGCACTGAAGAACTTTTTGTTTAACTGTTATGGAACCGCCACGTTAAATTTTTGAGGGATTTCCCCAAAGTTAACTTGAACAAATTACAAACCTGGCATTGCAATGTACAGGACACGAAATAAAACCAACAAGGGCAAGGAGAGGACTCAAATGTACAGAGGCAATATGGTTTTTACCATACAAAGAGAAGTACAGAGTTGCAATAAGACTATTTAGTAGACAGAGTAGAGAACTCAGTCACTTGGATGTTATGCCATGCAATAACAATTTCACACCCCACACTGAATGAATTTACTGTTTCTTCTTCTTTTAAGATTATTTATTTATTTATTTGTCAGAGAGAGAGAGAGAATGCACAAGCAGGGGGGAGCGGCAGGCAGAGGGAGAAACAGGTTCCTCTCTGAGCAAGGAGCCCGATACAGAACTCGATCCCAAGACTCTTGAGCCAAAGGCAGATGCTTAACCAACTGAATGACCCATGTGTCCCATGAATTTACTGTTTCATAACTATTTCTGCCAGTGGCTGTAAGATAGTAAATAAATTTCAAGTTGAATTTCCATTCTTTGGTGGTGCTTCATAATTGTTCTTGTATTATTTCATGAGTCCATGTTCCCTTTCCTTTTTTCAACTCTTGGGTTCCTTCTATGAGACAATTAATGTAATATTGATTATCCCCTCTTAAAAGCATAACAATAAATCATTTTCCCTTAAAGAACTGTTGGTCTATAAATGTTCTTAGTACCACACCTGCGGGGCGGGAGGGCACTGACTTATGATGCCTTACTGCTTTAGAGTCATGGGGCACTGGCACTCCAGAAACATGGACTGGATGACTAGCTTTGCAGCACTACTAGGGGATAGGAAGACTTCGAAGACCGGGGTAGGCGTAGGGAGTCTATGTTAACTAAACTGTGGGAATCTCTTTTCTAAGCTTCTTGTATTCTGAAATGTATCTTTTAAAATGCTGTTAGCCATGTTCCTTTCATGTAGTGGCATGGCCAGATTAAAGTTCCCAGGCATTATTTACTACTCAGTCATGCTTACAAGAAAAGCTAGCCTTTGTAATATGGGCTTTCCATTTCTGAATTAAGTAATACATTTAACCATTTCAGGAATTATTATAAAATTCATTACCAATATAAAATTACTACAAACATGTCCTTCACCAAGAATGTATCTTGCATTAGTGTATATGGAGAGCCGTATTTTGCAGGCTTACAGATCAAGTGATCTGATGGGAACATTGCTTGGCTTTCTGACATGACCTACTTAAAGGCATCCAGCAGACACTAACTAGTGCCAGAGCAGATTTCGTCCACTCTTCTGGTCTGCCAGAAGAAGGGTAGTCCCTAATTATCCATGAGGGGTCCTAACATTATAGACAACTTTTTTTTTTTGAAGGATCCAGATACCACAGATATGTTTTCTATATATATTTAAATGTATACTATAAGCACCTTACATTTGGCCCAGATCCCAGGAATGTGGTATTAACTGAGTGATTAAAAAAGAGAGGAAAAAAACATTTTTATTATGAAACCTTCTACACAGAGAAAAACAGAGAGCACAATATGTCTTCACATGTCCATCTTCCAGATCAATAAAACCTAGTGATTGTTATTTTAATTACCAAGTGTCAGACTGGGGCGCCTGGGTGGCTCAGTCATTAAGCATCTGCCTTCAGCTCAGGTCATGATCCCAGGGTCCTGGGATCGAGCCCTGCATCAGGCTTCCTGCTCCGCGGGAAGCCTGCTTCTCCCTCTCCCACTCCCCCTGCTTGTGTTCCCTCTCTTGCTATGTATCTCTCTGTCAAATAAATAAATAAAATCTTTAAAAATAAAAAAAAGTGTCAGACTATTTTTTTAAACAAAGAAATGCTCCTAAGTATTTATAGTATACTACAAAGTTTTATAAAAACCAAAATTCTTGAATCATGTGAAATGGACCTATTAAGAATATTCAGATATGCACTTTATAAAATGCATATATGGCCATTTTCATTGCAATGTTAAAACTCTAAGAGCAAAATTTTAAGCTTTCACCATTATAATTGCAGAACTGTATTTGGCTTTTGTGGGATAAAATTAGATTCAATATCTAATTTATTGAGTTGCAAATTTCTCAGTTAGTAAATATTTAAATGAAGCCTACCTTGTACAAATGAGTGTACCAGGGTCCATTTAGGGGCCATGATTATTCCTCATTTCACTAAACAATTTCCTTCTCTTTGATTTCCTACAAGTACTTAGTTTTTAGATGTGGAAAATGAAGTTGTAGGAAAGAATCTTAGTGTAGAAATAATGAATGCAAAAGAATAAATGAGAGAGTAAAATCAGCCTTGATACATGTCACCAGAAAAAGCAGCACCAAATTGGGTATATGTGAATATATGTATATGAACACAGAAAACACATAGGAATATATTCTCTCTAAAAAACATTTTGTAGAATAGCAGTGAGAGAATGAGAAGAATAGGATCTACAGAAGGATGGCTTAAAGAATTAACATTTGGAGGGGCGCCTGGGTGGCTCAGTTGGTTGAGCGGCTGCTTTCAGCTCAAGTCATGATCCTGGAGTCCCTGGATCGAGTCCCGCATCGGGCTCCCTGCTTGGCAGGGAGCCTGCTTCTCCCTCTGACCCTCCCCCCTCTTATGTGCTCTCTCTCTCTCATTCTCTCTGTCTCAAATAAATAAATAAAATCTTTAAAAAAAAAAAAAGAAAGAAAAAAGAAAAAAAGAAAAAAAAGAATTAACATTTGGAGTCTAGTTATAGAGATTCTGTAATCATACATACTCTGACAATTGGAGACATCTTTTCATTTCTAATTATATTACCATAATTAAGAGTATACTATTTTTGGTCAGAGTACAAGATATAAAAATCTGACAGATGTTTTGTTATTCTTTAACCTTAATCTGGTCCTTTAAATAAAAATCACTCCAACCCTAATATCCTATCGACTCTACTTATATAGTAACAATAAGAAGCAGGCTAGAGCATTTAGACATAAGTTCTTGACAGTCACAATTTCTACCACCACTTAACACACTTAACACTTTAAAATTTTTTGTTCACACTTAACACTTTAAACATATAAAGCTGTAGTATGTGATCATGAACACTATGCTTTTAATATTTAGGATATTATGAAGATTTACATGATATTCTGAACTTACGTAAAGCTATTTCAGATGAAACACTCAAATCTACAATCTTCCCATTAAAATGAAACTAAGCAAGCACAAACTGTAATCTAAAAACTAAAAACATCATTTACAAGTGACACATATTCAAGCTCCGACAAGTGACAGGCAGAAAGTGAGACTCAGACAACTGCAGC